TACCTGCCTGGGCGGATATCGGTCAACTAGACTGTCAGTTTCAAAACTAAGAAGCTTCAAGTGAAGCTTTATAGATAATAAATAAGATAAATTTGTAGATAAACGAATACTGACTTGGCTGATTATATTATGGAGCCTTACATCGAGTATAGAAAGTAAGTGACGACACTGATGCGAGCAGTGATGCCTTCAAGAATCAGGTGCCATGTCATTGGTAGTATCAGTGTTTCTTTGAACATGGTTTAGTAATCTCGAAATATTGAAGAGAATCTGTTATGAAAGGACCAATATTTTGTCCTACGTTTACCTATAATAAAGAGAGCTTCTAAGAGTTTTGCAATATATAAGTTGAATGGTTTATATTAGTCTGGTTACAATCTTCAGCAAATATTATACGATATAATAATTACAATATAAGAATTCTTATACCTTGTATTTATTAACTATAAAATATTTAATTTTATTTAATATATATAAATATATTTTGTATTTAATATATATAAATATATATCTTTACGGAATTTCTTGTTTTACCTTTTATATCTCTTGAATATTAAGAATAAAACGCGTGTGTTGTTGTATTTAGAATGAGATTAGTCTTCCAAAAGCAAAGAAGAAAGGACTGTACCGAGTTATAAAATTGCTATGTGATAATGTGTCCTTTAATCGCTTTAAGTTTATTTATAACATACTACATAAAATTCGACACAAAATTTAAATGTGATGAAGCTATAAATTCGATTAATAAAAATTTATTTAAATATTAAAGAAAGAATAATATTTTGAATACAGTTATTGAAAAATTGTACCGGAAATGATATCTATATTTTAAACACCGTTTTATAAGCTTTTATTTATATACAATCTCTATAATTTCCTCAACAGCCTTTATCAACGTATAAAAGTCAATATAACAAAAGACTTAAGCGACGAACTTGCATTTAAATTAAAGCAAAATTAATACAAAAAAATCAGTTTTAGTTTTGTTTGTTTTGTTCTTTTTTGTTAATCTAAGCAAAAAAAAAAATAAAAAATAATACTTATTTATTTATGTCATTTAAAAAAAGAAGAATAAGAAATTTAATTTATTATTGATAATTTTTAAATATAGAGATTATAAACGCAAAATCGACTAAATACCATGAATAAATTTGCCTAACAAAAGACTTCAACGCAAGAATTGCAAATTTTATGAATTTTTTAGTTAAATAAATAAAAAATTCGATATGAAATGCCAAACTGGGATTTGCTAACGTAAAGCTAAAATTAATTAGTTTTTAATTAAATACAGGAAATTGATTAACATAAAGCAACACAAATATTTTGTAATAAATTTTAATGTCAAATAGTCACATTTGTGCATCAGACAATGGCAAATCCGCCGTCAGCACTAGTGGCCACGCCAGTTTCAGTGCCAGCGGCGCCAGCAATCAACGAGTTTATTGAACTGAAGTGTTTTCTTAGGAAACCGAAGAGAATTTAATAAGATTAATTAAAAAACAATTGTTATAAAATTAAAAAAAATATTTGCTAAATATAAGAACTTAACCATACGTCAATGTTTGAAATTCGTAGGTACTTGGGTTAGTAGAAGACTGCTTAAGTACTACTTAAATCTTAATACCATGTACCATGTACTTCATATCTGTGTATATATCCACTCCGTCAAATAAGGTAAAGCTTGTCAGCGCTGACATGACACAAAATACATTGCTGACAGGCGTCGTGAGAAGCCGGAAATGTAAGCAACTCAAGCAGATCATCATGCCTAAGACCCGAAAGAATTACGCACCTCAGCGAAGCAGCGAAGTTTAAGTATGCCAGCGTCGTATAAGCCAATAAATTGAAAAAACACCAAAAGGTAGAGAATTACAACTTGAGCCAGGCTTTTGACCTTGAATGGAATACGTAACTTTTGCGACGTAATCATTCTATTTTTTATTAACGAACATTAAATTTACGTAAAAAGTAATTAAGTTCACTTTTAATACTATTCAGCGCCTCTTGAGCCACTCAACGAACCACAAAAAAGTATTAAAAAATAATAAAAATGTTTACAAAAAAGACCAAAAAAGCGAAATGAAGTTTTCCGGCTGGTCTCTTAAGCTTCATGAGTTTTGATGTTAATAGCTCGCGACTTCGATTGGCGACTGCTCACAAAATAAATAAAAAACTAAAATCTATTAATCTGCCATAAAAAATGCTGAATATTTGCCAAATTATGTTGGAAAAAACATCATCCAATAAAAGTAGAAAAAGTGGAATTATAAAAAGACATCTGGTCTTCACATACCTTGCGCTCTTCCAGACGAATCTGTTTTCGAAACATGTTTTTTGCAGTCAACATTTGAGTTTAATACTTACAACTAAAACATGACGATTCCAAAGTGAGAGGCCTACTTGTAAGAAGTAGACAGCGATTCCGGACAGCGATTAAGTTAAGAATCATCAATAGAAATTTATGCAAGAAACTGGGCACTTAGGAAACATTCGAGTATTTCTATGTCTATAACTTACACTATCACAAACACTATCACAGACATGCCTAGAACGTATAGGATCATACTATAAGCAAGTTGGGAGACATTAGAGAAATTGAACATCAAACATTCCTTCGAATAACGAGAGAAATTTACATAACCCCATCTAGTGTTGAGAAGGCTGAATAGATTCATAATTTTCTTGATGCAGAGAAGAATTGCAATGAGGTGTGACTATCTAAAAAATATCATATCCTATAGGAATTCCATCTTTTTATTTATGTTTATGATTAGATAAATATAATTTTTTGATAAGTGATTACATTACCCTAAGGTAATGTATTGAAATGATAGAAGAGAAGAATCCTGTATTACTGAAATTCAAGTTCCTACATTATTCACAACATTTTAGGCTCCCAATTACGATTTTGTCATATAAACAATCTATCATTGGTATGTGTAAAGTCTCATAAAAAATTGCTACTCTACGTATATGTGGCTATATATAAATCTGTAATATTAGATACATTTTTCTATAAACATTAATATGTTTATAATTATTTTAGTATTTTTATGTACTTGAATTTAATGGATATCAACGAATACAATTCTTTCTAAGCAACACACAAAGAAGACCTTAATTTTGGTTAAACACAACTTATAATAATTATTTTTTATTTACTTGTAATTGTTGTTGTTGTTGTTGTTGTTGTTGTTGTTGTTGTTGTTGTTGTTATGCAGTTTCAATGCGAATTAGTTGTGCAACATTATTGCATAATTATAAGTTGCAACATGCAACCTTCAGTTGGGTAAAGGGCTGAGCTAGAATTAAGTGGTTTTCTAGTAACTCAACAAGCAGCAAACAAACTTAAAGTATTTGAAAAAAATGAATATAAAAAACCTGATACTGCAAAAATGAAGAAAAATAATACGGAGAAGCTTGCCACACTGCAACATTGATCGGCAACTGCGTCGCAGTGACATTAATTCAATTCTGTTCAATTAAACTTGCGCCACATCGCATGGCTTGTCGCATGCATGAGTACGTCGGGATTTCGTCACGATGACAGCTTGCGCAATATACCGCCTCGTTAAAGCGCAGCAGAAGCGCATATCGATGTAGCACATCATTTCTAGCCAATTCGACTCGAAAAACTCATGCTAATTGGCATTTTGGAAGAAAATGCGTGTGGGCGGCCCAAACAATTGGTGGTTGCTACTGAAAATGGGCCCTGATAAGGTACCAGCAGAAATCGAAGAAAACATTACCAGCATTAATGTGGATTTATTGTACTTATGTATAATTTTCTGAGGCCCCTACTAGTATACTGTTATTAGATACGTCAACTCTAAACGTATCGTTAAAAGCTAGTCGTTATATAGTTCAGCAATGAAGTATATTAATTGTTTGCAAAGAACACTTACTTCATTTACAATTAAAGTAACTGATATGACTCATACTGCTATATATATATATATATATATAATGTCTTTATACTATCACATGAACTACTTCTTGACATTCACACTATGAATCCATAAACCACATTTTAAATACTGAGATACTGCAGTGTATGTCATGCACACACATAGACTTTATTGGGCATAAAAACGGGGTCAAATATTTTGTGTAGAAGTAACAATGAAAACTTAAAAATAAAATCCTTCAAGGACCGATTCTCGGCTATGAAAAAAATTAATATACATCAATAATCATTCTGAAGTACTTAAATAGACTTGTTAACAAATTGTAAAATCTGTAACTGATAGTTGCCGGGATATGACCCAGAAGTGTTGAGCGAAACACAGAGATAGGTAGTATATAAAAAAGTGATACATAGCTCTTAATCACTCTCAACATACGGCTTCGTATAATCAAGGCAGAATTAATATATTTTATATAGCGTAGGAAGAAATTACACCTCAGCACAAAGAACAGTGACAGTAATGCTCTATTTAAATTGCATTTCATGTTCTTCATGTGGAACTCATAGATAGAGCCACCTAAGGAAAATATGTAGAATGGAAAGAAATAACATCTAAGTACTCAAAACAATAACAGGGATGCTTAAGAACCAATGACTGATGACCAATGATTTCATGCTCTTAATGCAACTCATGATAGGACTGTGACAGAGGTGGGAGAGAAAAGTGTGTTTATACTAGAAAATATATTTTTGGCAGTTTTCAGGCAATCCGTTATCTGTAGATTATATTATCATGGACGGAATTTGTCTCTAACTCCCACCCCTTTCTGGGTACGTTGATGAATCGTGGTTAGAGATGACCGCAAAATATATGTGAAATATGAAGGAAAGGTACTTTGGTATATAACATATATTCGCCAATACTTTTTTTTTGTTTTTTACCAGTTCTAATTAATTATTACTACGTCTACTACCCCATTTAATGGTTCCCGAAATTTCTGTTCAATCGATCATTCAACCAATAAATAAATAAAAATCAAAAAGCATATACATAAAAAATTAAATTAATAATCGATTATCTTTCTTTTTTCAGGTGCCTTTGTTCACCATGTCTCTTATTGCGCATTCCGGAAGATCTAGAAGCGAATGCCCGTGCTGCTTTGCGTTTGGAGCAAGAGCACACACTCACCAATTGCGGTGAAACCGATTTGAATTCAAACTACGATGTCTGCCCACCGAGTAAATATCGTTTGCCGACCGGCGAATGTAACAATGTGTCATATCGTAAATGGGGCGCACGTGGTGACACCTTCTTGCGTCTATTGGCCACCGACTATGCTGATGGCATAAGTCAACCTCGCACCTCACATGGCACACATGCACTGCCCGCTGCCGCTGTTATTATTGAACAATTGGAACATCATGTCGATGGTAATGTACGTCATCCACATGTCACTGCCATGCTGCCAGCTTGGGGTCAACTTTTAGCCAGCGATCTCTACGAAGTTAGCCAAATGCCCATTGACAACAAATGTTGCAAATCACCAGCGGAATTTAAGGATCCCAATCAACTGAAACAGTGCTATGTACGTTCTGGAGTTGATTGCAAAGAATATAAACGTTCTGCCCCCGGTTTTAATGCTGACACCTGTCATAAACGTAAGTGTCTTTACATTCCACGTATTTGCAGGTATTTTATTTTTTTCGTTTTCATTTGCAGATCAACGCGAACAAATGAATGTTGTTTCTGGATATATAGATGGTTCTGGCCTTTATGGCTCAAGTACTAGAGACTTTCAACAACTACGTACTTTTATTAGCGGTGGTGTTAAGGTCGAGTCATGCAAAAATTGTCAGGTACGCGGCGCAACTGGGGCACTACACCGTGCTTTGCTACAGGAACACAACAAAATTGGTGAACAATTGGCGCACATTAATCCGAACTGGTCTGAAGAAGATGTCTTTTTGGAATCAAGACGCATTGTTACCGCACAAATTCAACACATTACATATAACGAGTTCCTACCACTAGTTCTGGGTCAGGAAACAACTGCCAAAGAAGGTTTAAGGTGAGTATCTCGATTCAAAATTAAAATGCTTAGTAAATAGTTTTCTTTTTTTTTGTAGACTTACACCTGAAAAGCACTCCACAAACTACTCAAGCTCGAACCACGGTGGTGTATACAATGAGTTCGCCTTTAGTGCAATGCCCGCTTTTCTGACAATGTATCCACCAGAGATGGTATTTGCTAGCTAACTAAAATTATCTTAATGGTTTTAACACAGTACTTTTATTTAAATAGATCTCAAACTCCATGTCTGCATCCCAACTGCTTTCTGTTGCCGCTCTACAGAAATCACTAATACCAACTGCAACTACTGAAGACGGTTGGACTGAATTGGCTCTAGCTATACACCGCGGTCGCGACCACGGCATACCTTCGTATCGCAATGCATTAGATCTATGCGAACAATTATTCCCAAATGATGTAGCCAATATTACTTTCGATACTCTTTCCAAAGTTTCCACAATACCTGAGGAGTACATTACAAGTCTTAGAGATATATACCAGTAAGTATTCTTTACAATTACTTTACCATGGCTGCATACTGCCTCGATAATAATAAGCGTATAGTTCTTAAACTTTGGGAACAAGTAGTTTAAGCTGATCTCAAATATAGCTTTAATTATGTGCCATATATAAAATATATTTAAATTTATAGAACTGCTGATGATATTGATTTGTTGGTTGGTGCTTTGCTTGAAGACCCAGCGGTTGGTTCACTTTTCGGTCCAACTATAACTTGCCTACTGAAACTTCAATTCGAGCATCTTAAACGCAGTGATCGCTTTTGGTATGAAAACGATATACCACCTTCCTCATTTACTCTGGATCAATTGAAGAGCATACGTCAAACGAGCTTATCTGGATTACTTTGTGCCTCTAGCCAAGTTGAGCAGGCTCAATCCAAGGCTTTCATTAGAGAGGACAACTATTTGTAAGTTTTTAAATCCCCGTATTCAAAGAGAATAAGATTAATAAGACTAATTCGTTCTCAAACAGGAATTCTCTACTTAATTGCGACCAAATACCAAAATTCGATTTGCGTCCATGGTATGCAAATGCCGAAGATGAAGAACCTATTGAACATGTCGAAGTGGAACCTGAAGTAAAAGAAGCTATTAAGGAACTGAACCCCGATCTCATTGAAGCGGCAATAGAACGTGCCAGAACTGAACTAGAAGATCGTAAACGGTTTGAATACGAGTCATGGCGTGCAAGTAAGATTAAATTTCTTTCGTTTATCTGTCAAAGGTCCTAACTGAACCAATCATTTAATTTTCTTTAGATGGTGGCATCAGTGCAAAGTCTCCAGATGGTGTTGCTGCTTCTTTCAGTAAAGCTAGTCGCAACGCGTTGTTGCTTGCAAACTCCTCCTTAATGTTCGAATTAACTTCAAATGAGATCTTAAACTCACTCACATCAATTTCTCGTCGTAAACGTCAAGCATTTGACGGAAGCTTGAATGCATTCAATCGTAACGAGTTAACTGAGACTTTACAAACAATTGACATAACTACCTTACTTGCTGGTACTAGCAATGGAAAGACACCACATAATGAGTGTGATGACCCACCAACCGCTTGTGATACAACAACACCATTCCGTACTTTCACTGGTTACTGCAACAACTTACGTAACCCCAACTGGGGCAAATCGCTGTCCACATTCTCACGTTTGCTGCCATCCCAATATGAAGACGCTATCTCTAAGCCAAGACTACTAGGTGTCACTGGTGCACCGTTGCCTAATCCACGTTCTATTTCCACACTCATACATCCAGATATTTCTAATTTGCACACACGTTATGCACTTATGGTTATGCAGTTCGCACAATTTTTGGATCACGATTTAACATTAACACCCATACACAAAGGTTTCCACGAATCTATTCCCAGTTGCAGATCATGCGATTCACGTCAAACAGTGCATCCAGAGTGTAATCCATTCCCTGTTCCAGCTGGTGATTATTACTTCCCTGAAGTAAACGTAACAAGTGGCGAACGCTTATGCTTCCCATCCATGAGATCATTGCCCGGTCAGCAAACACTTGGCCCACGTGATCAGGTCAACCAAAATACTCACTTCTTGGACGCTTCTATGATTTATGGTCAAAATATTTGCGTAGCTAATAAATTACGTGGCTTCTCAGGACGCTTGAATTCGACCATCCATCCGATACGTGGCAAGGAATTGTTACCACAAAGTGCTACACATCCAGAGTGCAAATCACGTGATGGTCTTTGCTTCATTGCTGGCGATGATCGTGGATCTGAACAGCCAGGCTTGACTGCTATACATACCACATTCTTACGAGAGCACAATCGTATCGTCGAGGGCTTACGTGGGGTGAACCCTCATTGGAATGGCGAACAATTGTACCATCATACCCGTCGCATTGTCACGGCACAAGTACAACACATCACATTCAATGAGTTTTTGCCACGTATTTTAAGTTGGAATGCTGTGAATTTATATGGTCTTAAGTTATTGCCCCAAGGCTATTACAAGGATTACAATCCATCCTGCAGTCCGATTGTGTTCAATGAATTCGCAGCTGCTGCCTTCCGTATTGGACATTCACTCTTACGTCCACATATACCACGCTTGAGTACACAACACCAACCTGTCGATCCACCACTATTGTTGCGTGATGGTTTCTTCAAAATGGACGTACTTCTGCAGGTGCCTATTTTATTCTATATAAAAATTTCTATATTCAAAATGTATTCAAAAATAAATATTTCTGATTTTTACTTATAGCCTGGCATTATTGATGAAATCATGCGAGGTTTAGTGGCCACACCTATGGAAACACTGGATCAGTTCATTACCGGTGAAGTGACAAATCACTTATTTGAAGACAGAAAAACTCCATTCTCTGGTATCGATTTAATCGCTTTGAACGTACAAAGAGGTGTGTATAATCTTAGTTTTTTTTTATCGAATTTGGTATACATTATTCACTATACTCCAACAACAGCTCGTGATCACGGCATACCATCTTACAACAATTACCGTGCTCTTTGTAATTTGAAACGTGCTTCCACCTGGAGTGACTTAAGTCGCGAAATACCCAATGAGGTGATCAACCGTTTCAAGAAAATTTATGCTTCAGTAGATGACATCGATTTGTTCCCAGGTGCTATGACTGAGAGACCATTGCAAGGTGGCTTAGTAGGTCCTACATTGGCCTGCATTATTGGTATTCAGTTCAGACAGCTTCGCAAATGTGATCGTTTTTGGTATGTGAGAGTCAAAAGATTGAATTTTTCTTTTTTTGCTAATGACTCTTAACATTGCATCCTTAGGTATGAGAATCAAAATCCCGAAGTTAAGTTTACTGAAGCACAACTGGCTGAAATACGTAAAACCACACTGGCTAAGATTATCTGCGAAAATTTAGAAGTTCCCGGTGACATGCAACGTGCCGCACTCGACTTACCAAGCAACTTCCTGTAAGTATTTTGGAAACTTTACATTTCATAAAAATTAATGATTGTTGCTCGTTAACAGCAATCCACGCGTACCTTGCCAATCGATGCCACAAATCGACTTGAGTGCTTGGCGTGAAAATGTTCAAGGCTGTCAAATTGGTAATCGACATGTACGAGTTGGAGAATCAGCATTCCCTTCACCCTGCACCAGCTGTGTGTGCTCCAATGAGGGCGTAAGTGTTTTGTTTTAGCACTGAAAAACAAACATAAGTTTTAATTTTTCCCCACTTCATCTTCTTTAACAGGCTCAATGTGCCTCTTTACGTATCACTGATTGCGGTCAACTTATTCGTCAATGGCCCAAAGACGCTATCCTACGCGACGAAGTCTGCAACTCCCAATGCGGTATCTATCTGAATGGACAGAATAACTTCAATTCACAATCGCGTTCCAATCAAGCACAACCACCACGCCTTAATTCACCACCAGCACGTGTACAACGTTCGCGACCACAGAATATATTTAAATTTCCCGATTTGACTCCATTTATTGCATCTTTATAAGCACTGGAGTCAACGTCATTACAAAGTATCACTGCGAAGAGGCGCGTCTTATTGGAAGAAACAAATGCGAATCACACACAAAATAAAAAAAAAACAAGCAAATACTATTTTTCTTGTTAAAAAAATGCAAAAAAAACAACAAAAATCAAAATGTCCGCCATAGGTTAATTTTATAAAAATCTACTTAATTCTTAATTATGTTGTTGTACGTTTTTATATTGTATAATGCTGTCTGTAGGGTGTGCAAAAGCTTAACCCTTTACTGCAGTTATCCACTTTTCGTTCTAATTTCATATTTGGCTATTTCTCTTTATTATTATATATTTTAATAGCATGATTTATTGCACCATTTATACTTATGTACTAAGCCTACAATATATACATATACAAATATATTTATATATATACATAAAAGATACTAGAGAGTAACATAAATAGCGCATACGTGACCTATAATTTATTTTCACGCGTATTTTGTTAAATAATTTTTTTTTTGATAATTTTATTTGTTAACTTTACTCTGCAATGCAAAAGACTTATATATTTACTTCCTTTGCTAAATATATGCTCTTATACATGAACCGGCACTCCTTAGTTGTTAGTACTGCGTGGCCCGTGTAATTCAGATGGCCAGAAGGCTATGCAACTATGCCAGCAAAAATCTGTTCCATACCAGTCGATACTGGCAATTTCGAAAAATACGTTGGCTGGAAAATGTGTGGACAGTTTGTGCTTGGCAACGCTACATGGCAACTCAGGTGCTAGAGTTGCCATTTTGTGCACTGATGTGCTACGTTTTTGGAAGTCATTCTAAATCCATGTTTTCGATATTAACTTAGTTTTAAAGTTCACAGAAGAAAAGGTTGCACTCTTCACTTTTCTCTAGCGTAATTAAGTTTTTCGCTTCTAATTTTACACTTAAACCTTTGAAATAATTATTGTATTTATTTTTTATTATTTTTTATATATCCTATAACGAAAACTGAAAAATTTTCTCCTAATTTATGTTACTTGAAGTTCATAATACGATTAATATTGTAATTTTACAAATGTTTATAAACTTTTAAATCATTTCAAAATAAAAAAATATTTACGCAATATTTTAATAAACAAACATTTTTTTATTTTTATAATATAATAACACTGTGATCCAAAAATATGGTGAAACTATTAATTACTTTAAAGAACGTTTATTAATTCTTTTAAATCTAATCCATTCTCTTCAAGGTCTCCTCTCAACATAGTTCGCTGGTGTTAACGTTTTATCCAATCCTGGCTATATGTTCGGGTACCTTCGACATAATTTTTGAAGTCAAGATTCGGAATGGCCTTCAAAACGAGCAGCGATTCAATTTTAATTATCTCAACCATGTTGAAACGCTATGTTTGGAATGATCTTTTTAGCTTAGGGCATAGCCAGAAGTGACACGGTTCTAAATCAGTCGAATACCACAATTGTTGAATGATATGAGTTGAGTTTTTTCAAAATTGGTCCCGAGAAACCAATGCAGTGTGAAATGATGAATTTTGCAGAAATCTGAAATTGATTGCTCATAACTCTTTCCTCTTTGTGCGAATAACTTATTGTGATAGGGCCGAAAAAAGGAGTTTCAATTTTTCCTCACCACGATTACCGCAGAAAACGATTATAATTAATTTTTTTTTAGAAGACTTTGGCGCGACCTTTCTAATCTTGGCTAACTTTTTGCTAGTTTTCATTCGGTTTTTAAAGAAAATTGAGTGTTTTTCGCAAAGAGCTAGTTGCACTCTTTTTGCAGATGAAACATGCTTCGATATGATCCGGACTGACTTAAATGTTAACAGTATTAGCTAGGGATTTTTTTTATTACTAATCGACGATTTTTGAGCGCCAAAAAATCCATTCATATTGTACCAAATGCATAACTGAATTCAGTATTTATTAATTTAATTGAGCAACAAAGACAAACTATTAACGACAGTGATAACATAAACATATTTCCTATCTCATTCTAAGTATATATATTAAACTGTTGTATATGGCATAAGACCATCAATTCTGTTATTAAACATTACTATTTTATATACATTGAAATAACAATTTCTAGCATCAGCTATAGAGCACTCTTGTGGCTGTAAGTAGCACTTTATTGATCATGTGTTAACGTATTGAATATCGACTTCTTTATATGGCTTACTTTTAAACAATCAATTGAAAAAAAAAGAAAAACAATCAAACAAACAATATTAAAACAAAATATCGGAAGATTCACCTGAAAAATATTGAATATAGAAACCCTAAAGGGTCTTTAAAATACTTCAAGTTATTGATATATTGTACTACTCGTGAAAGAATGTTTCTAATTTATATAATTCTTATTCAGAATCCGCTGTGATCGCATGATCGGATAATAGCAGAAGACGAGAATAGAACAGCTAGATGTAGGTATAAAAGCTACAGATGCCCAAATCATTTAAGCTTATTTATGTGCCAAAACAAATACAACAATAATTCTAAATATTTTTGAAACTCTAAAGTAAATACTAGCATCGCTATAAGAAGAAGTATGGTATAATTAATCTATTCTCAAAACAGACAATCCTGTCAACATTATTTTAGGTTTAAATTTTAGTTCATAACTCATGGACAATGGAAACATATGACGAAAATGAAATCGTCTATTGAGTTCAAAAGACTACAACTTAATACTTAAGACTATAATATGGTAAAATATTAAAAATCCTCTTAACTAAAAAATTATAAGATATAAATTAAAATATCCAATTTGCTTTCAGAGCTTGTTTAGATTCTTCTTACTCAACATAGGTATCAGTAAAAAGACTAGTTAGTTGAGAAAAATATACCTGTACCTATTGTGTATATAAATATACAATTCCCCATGACAGTTTAAGATCGTCCAAAAATTTCCCATCACATCAGTTTAAAGGAAAAGTAACTCAAAATACGGGAATAATGATGTTGTGTTGGTATCTAATAGAAAAGTTTAAACAATATATATAAATAGAAGTTCGATTAAAATCTCAGGCACGAGTGTGTCCTATTTACAATAACTTCTAGAACCACATATTGGCGAACCCCGCTTCCATTTTTTTAAATATTTATTTACTTATTGTTTCCCCTAATTGGTAAAACCAATATTAATGTATGAGTTTTATTGAATTTTTGTGTAAATTTTTAATTCAGTTGTTTAATTAATAAATTATATTTAAATTCGAAAACACAGGTATATATGTTTGAATAGCGTTCCTGATGTTTTGTGTTGTCGTACCTCAACCTAATCTTATTCAAAATTAAATTGAACTAGGTTTCTGCAAAGTATGAGGAAAAAGTTGGAAACATTTTTAAATTTTCCAAAAAGTATTTTATTTCATCCTCAATTTCTATTCCATTCTCTTTAAAGTAGGCTCCCATCGATACTATGCAATCATGCGGCTGAAATTTTTAGTTGAGGAAGAATAAATGAAAGATGGAAGGAAAGTAGACGTATGTAAGTACTTTAATAGTTGTATGGAAAAAGCAATATAAATAATTTCACCAATCTATAATTTTTTTTCGTCTATTATATTGGTTGAAAACCTTTTCCTTTCACTCTATCCCCACCTCATCCTAACCCATGTATTCGTCTTGTAAATCATTGATATTTTCTGATCTATGGGTTTCGTGAGATTACTACAACGGCAATAAAACTTTACATACAATCTATTTATTCAATGAGTAAATAAGAGAGAAACCTAAAAATATACCAGGAATATAGAAGCTAACATGTGTTGTGAAAACCAATGATTTTATTATTTTCAAAAAAATTGGTGGAAGAATCTAAAACTTACATTTAATTTTTCACCAACAAGGCCGATATTTTGTGTATATAGTAACCCAGACCCATAGCCAGATTCGAAACTTTTTGCAGTATTTCCACTTTCCAGATTCCCAAATACATAAAAACATTGAATACGAATTTCTTAAGAAGGCTCGGACAAATTTTCAGGTCCTAAGGTAAACCAAACAGCTCATTCAAGTCAACAATAAGAATATTGTCAGGTTTTTTCAAAATCAACAGAAATGTACTCAAATTAATAAATGGCTTAGTAATCGGACATGCTGTCTTCAACTATCACCTTTCAAAGATGTGATCGAAAAAGTCTGTAAACGTTGACTGCGAAATCTTTGAAATGCAGAGTCGAGCCTTAACCCATCTTATCTGTTGCTGTTAATACTGTTATATCAGCACTTCTGAACATGGAAAGCATTATAAGAGGAAAGCAAGATATGAGAGGAAATAGTGAAGAGAAATGACGTGGAATAGGGAATCAAAAAATGACTGGTACAGTTGAACTAAGCTTGAGCTTATTTGAAGAAACTTTACTACATCAAGGAGGTAGAGTTATAAATCGACAAAGCTCCAAAGATACGCTTTTAATCCCTAGAGTTGTCAGCCGCAACCCAGTTCATTACCTTGTTGAGTTGCAACGATGGTTTCGAGTATGACACTGATTCGGTATAGAGGACTGAATTTCGATTCCATTGATTTTATTTCTAAAGCAATAGGTGTCGATCGATGTTTTCTTCACACGAAGTGAGAAAGAGATGCAACGAAGAAGAAAGGTGTTGTCATTTATCTTATGTGCTCGTGCCTTGTAGTTACAGGTTCAGTTCCTTCATTCGACTTTCATTAAATCGATTGTGGGCAGGGTTCTTGAACCAAGATACATTGATAGATTTGTCAATAGTCTTAAATGATGTGGATTAACTTATAAGATCTTAAAAGTCGTGGTAGTATAGCATCATTCCTCTTAACAATAATAACTAAACGTGTCAGAGTTTTTGAATTTTAAATACTCTCGAAAAGTTATTGTCATATAGGTTTTATCTTTAGGTGATATACCGAAACAGTTAAGTTTTCATAAAGCGAATCGTAGAAATTGATGTTAATTTTAAATATAATTCATTTTCAAATCCGAAATAAGAGTGACTCTATCTGCACTCGTAATAAAATTTTTATCGTAAATGGAATTAGTTTTCAAGAACCTGTCTTAACTTAATTACGGATTTGCTTATGTTTTAATCCAGTCATACTTCTTTTTTGTTATATAGCCTTAAAAACTACAGTTAATGATCGATGTAGTCTATATTAAATCAAAGATAATGTTTTTTTTTTGTATAGCAGTTGTGTCCATCAAAAACTGTTTTCTGGGTTGCTCGAAACTCTATGTCTGAGTTCTGTGAATTCGTATAGCAAAGGGTATTACAAAAACAATTGCACACAAATGCAAAAACAAAAACAACTCGAGTTCAATCGATCTTTGGACCCACTCCGCATTGATCCAGATTGACTTGAATTTAAATCCCATCCATTTCTCAATCCAATCTTCCTCCTTAATAATGCACTTACGTCGCACAATACCGAAACGTATCCACATCCTAATCCATGTATTCAATTTTTAGGTGCTCTAATGTTATCTGCTTTATAAATCCGTTCGGGCTACAACAACAACAAAAACAAATGTGCTTAATGTGTTACAGGCTGAACATCTCTGGCACATGCTCGACTGAATTCATAACTGCATATTTTAAGTGATAACTTTTAAAACTTTAATTGTTCTATTATTTATTATAAATTGCAACTAATTAAATTAACTTTTACAAAATAAAATTAAAAAAGTAATTATTGATAAATAAATACTGCATTTATTCTTAGCAATTTAACTAAGCACTTGATTTCAATATTAATTTTGTTATTTTGTTTTTTGTTTTTTTTTCGTCTGTCCGTGCGCACTGCATTGCAAAACAATTCCCAAAAAAGCTCCGATCGGATATCTGACCGATCTTAAGTAATCAAAACTTACACTTTAACTTAGACATACATGCATATCTGCACATATATATATAAGATATAAATATACATATTCACATATCATATATATATATATATATACATATACATATGCATATACATATACATATACATATACATATACATATACATATACATATACATATACATATACATATTCATATTCATATTCATATTCATATTCTTATTCATATTCATATTCATATTCATATTCATATTCATATTCATATTCATATTCATTATTCATATTCATATTCATTATTCATATTCATATTCATATTCATATTCATATTCATATTCATATTCATATTCATATTCATATTCATATTCATATTCATATTCATATCATATTCATATTCATATTCATATTCATATTCATATTCATATTCATATTCATATTCATATTCATATTCATATTCATATTCATATTCATATTCATATCATATTCATATTCATATTCATATTCATATTCATATTCATATTCATATTCATATTCATATTCATATTCATATTCATATTCATATATTTATACCATTATATATAATATATATATATAGAATATATATTCATATATATATATATATGCAGATAAGATATAATATATATAATATATTTATAAATTTATTTAAGATATCATATATAATATATATATATAATCAATAATATATAAATATACATATTTATATAATATATAATACAGATATAATATAATATATACATATCATATATAAGTATTTATACATACATATTCAATTATATAGATATTTATATTACATTTCATATATATAGATATTTATATACACATATTCCTATATATATAGATATAGATATAGATATAGATATACATATACATTTTATACATTTATTTATAAATATTTTACAGACTACATTTAAATAGATATTTGAATTAATTATATTAAATAATTCTTATAGTGTTTTTACTGTTGGAACAGCGTAATCAGTGCTCGAAAATCGTTAAACCACACAAATAGTAAAATAAACTAAAATTATTACAATATAATTAATTTCTTTGTATTAAATTGTTTTCCCATTTCAATTGACTTTATGTTTTGTTGTTTTGTTGATTTGTTGTTTTGTTGATTTGTTGTTTTGCTCATAATAATTATAATAAAATATAAATAGTATATAATAGTATGTAAATTAGTAGTGAATATTTTATAGTGAACAGTGTGCACAGTGAAGTTCTAGGCGAAACCTTAATTTTACTGATTCTTGACTCTTACTTAAGCTAACGAACTAATAAAAATTTTCTGCACTTAAATAGTAGTAATTCATTTATCACACATGGCCGTCTGTGTAGCGGTTATGGATGCAGCTGTTGTAAGTGTTGCGGGTGTTGGTCCATTTGTCATCGAGTGTCGGCGCGACAACAGATTACCGGCGAGGTGGTAATTGATATGGCCATTGGGTGTGAAGCCGATGCCGTTGGTGGCTGTGGCATCACCAAAAGAGGTTGCATTCGCGTAGTACTGCATACCGTCGAGATTACCCAATTTGCCAACAATTTTTGGTATTTTATCACTTTCAGTGGCACCACTTCCGATGCCTCCGATGCCGCCACTGCCCCCGATTGCACTGCTACCGCCAACGTGTAGATGATGATGAGCATGACTGTGATGATGATGCGTATGAGAATGAGTGTTGTGTTGATGTTGATGATGATGGTGGTGGTGATGATGATGATGATGCGAGTGTTGTTGTTGCATTTGGTGCTGCTGCTGCTGCTGCTGTTGGCCAATTCCGGTGCCACATACTGACATTGAGGGTGTGCTTTTGCTATAGGTTGGGCTACTTTTCGTGGCTTGAAGCAGCTTATGTGTGTTTTGTGTATACAATTCATTTGCATTCTTTAGAGATGACGCTTTGCGCATATAATTGCACCGTACGTAACCGCAGGATTTGCAGGAAGTACGTGTCTTTTGCGACTTTTGATTTAGATTATTTAGATTTGCGGCTATTAGTTTTGCCTGTGTTGCTAGTTTCTCTGGTGAATTGGGAGCGCTGTCTTCGTCGCCAGTTGGCGGTGGTGTGGAGGCACGACTGGACTCCGAAGAATGACAACTAGTGGAATGATGTTCTTCTACTTCGGAATCATCATTATCACTAACAATAACGCTTTCATCTACTTTGGCATTTTCTGTTGCTGCAACATTGTTCATATTTATAGTATCGACGAACTGCTCTTGTGTTTCAAGAGCACTTACTTTGGTAGCCACTTCAGTGTTTGTTTCACTTAAACTGACTGAATTTAGCGTTTCATCTGCAATTGTTTCATCATCGTTATTGGGTAATATAGATTTGTTTTGTACTTCTTGTGCTAATGCAATCCAGTGCTCACGATTATCACGCACTCCCTCTACCAAAGGTTCCAACTTATCAGAGAGATGGGCAAAAGCCTGCAAGGTAAACATAAAGATATTTTTGTAATAAAATAAAATTTATTATTCTAAATAATAAAATCTTTTAAAATGAAAGAGGGCATGATTACAATTTCCAGAAAGCTGCAATTATTTAACATATAGTGACGACTAAGAACAAGATGCGCTATCGACTGCAGTCACTGTAAACAATTTGAAACATCTAGAAATATAATCTATATCGACTTACAATGCGCCACCTAGTTTAGCCACTGTAATAAGTTTACAACATCTGTAAACTCAATCTATGATATTTCAACACATGAGTAGTAAAAAAAGTTTCGAATAGGCAAATTTACCAAAATGGTAGACCCGGATGGATATCGTAAATGTAGCATTAAAAATCGTAATCATGCCATTAAGAATGTCAAATCTATCTTTATCTGTGCCTATAGAAAAGGCTATTTATAATGTTTTAAGAGCAGAAACCATTTTTCAGTAGTAATTCTAACAATTTTCTTATTGAAAAAAACATTTAAACTAAGTCCTATTTTTCAGTGTAGTGATATGAACCTACCTCATATATGGGCAAGCAAATAGATTCAATAAAGCCAACTTGCATCATAGGTAATTCATCCTCCTTTTCGCGATTCATGATATCCTTAAAAAAAAATAAACGTTAATATTTCAGTTACAATGTATCAATTCTATTCAGATATGTTTACTTACAATTGGCGTTATGTTAAGTTCCTGCTTCTCCATATCGCCCTGTTCGAAAAATTCCGAACTTACCAAATCGGCCACACGTTTTTCAATTTCCCATGGCTTTGTGATAGCCGACAAATCACAGACTGTCATGCTCATTGCACGCAATAGAGCGCGGGGCTCATCAGCAACCCAATAGCTCATGGGCTGCTCTTGCACCGATTGTAGAAATGGACCACGTTTTCTAAATTAAATAATAATTACATTTTTTTTCAATTCGTAAGGTATTATTAGTCTAATCAAAACAAACATAACATACCTAAAGTAGACTGCCAAATCTGTAGACAGAATAGCATCCTCAAGTACATGTATAACACGGCAATAATCTTCAGATGAGAGATTCCCTAAGATTTGATTTCCAGGACTATTCAAAATCATCAGGCATTGATCGAAGTGATGATGTTCCATAGTGGATGTTGAATATAATTGCGCAAGTGGTGAAGAAGCTCTAAATAGTGAGGTTACATGTGAGATTAGGAATTTAGTTCTATACAAGCACTGTTACTCACTTAATTTGAAATGAATTATTGGTCCCTCGATGATCCAAATCATGACACAAACAGCCGATAATTAAAGCCAAACATTCAATTTCGCCAAATATCTTCCACCATTGTGTCGCCTGTCCATGATGGGAAATCTTTGATTAATTAAAAGTGCTAATTTTAACTTAAAATTGTTAAATGAAATGCAACAACAACAAATAAAACTACAACTAAGTTAATTAGTTAATTAATTCGATATGAAATTTAGTGAACTTGAAAATAAATCTTAATTAATAAAAATCTATTATTCAATGAAAATTAGAGAAACTCTACAAACCGTTAAGATAGCAAACATCATCTGAGCTACATTGAAGGCGTGTCGCCAATTGTGATAAGTAACATTGCGATAATTCTTCTTAACACTCAACAGCCAACGGCAGAGCACCTCGTAATCTATGTGGAAACGCTCAACAAAATCGAGATCCAAAAACATCCGCAGACAAGCCTGAATGAAGTGGAGAGTGTTATGTTAATGTTAATTAATGTTATTGGAAGAATGCGCTTACTTTCAACGTATCGTCGTCTTCAAAATGTATATCATCAAATTTGAAATCGTGCAAACGGAAATGTGCTGCTGAAGGCACACGCAACGCCTGTAGAGAGAAAGTAAATAGTAGTTTGTCTTTATTTTATGTTAGCATATATCCGCGGCTATGCCTGCGTTTTATTAATAATATAAATTACATTCAAAATAGGATTATATATTGAAAGTGCAGAATTAGAGAAATATGTTTTGGTTCTGGGAGCGACAAAGTCTGCTGCCCGTACATAATCATTTTTTCAGAAGACCAACTGCTCCTCACCCTTCTCAAAAAAAAAACTCAAAATGTGGAGAATTCCTAATATTGGAATTCCTAAAATCAGGAAATCTCTTAATGAAGACGAAATAAAAAATTTAAATCCTTAAAAACAAAACCGACTTTATAATGTTATACTGTTAAACTGAAAATTGTTATGAATGTAAAATGCAATCGGATGTGGTAAATATAAACGAAATATTCAAATAGATCCAGGTTTTTTTGGACTGCTATTTTATATTGCATGAATTATTCTATAAAGAGATTTTTTCCGAACAGAAGTGAACTACAAGAACAAAAATTCATTTTATATTATTTTAATTAATTGAATTTTTGGCTGACGATACAGCTGTTTTGAGTATTGCCAAATACTTATCATCAGTGGTCTTGGAAATAATTCTTGTATTTAATTATTCGTAAATAATTTTTTTTTGAGACTTCAAGTATCAGGATTCGAACTCATGCTCTGCCAAATTTAAAGCTCAGAGTCAGCAGTCAGCGCTCCTTAACAACTGACCCAAAGCCGTATTTGACTTATATGTTCGCACATTTTTCTGGAGCTTTTTGTTAATTTGCTGTGAAAGTTTTATCAACAAATTCACTTGCTGTGTTTATATTAGAACGAAATCATAAACCAACTGTAGAATAATTTAATTAATTAATTATATTTTTATTTTTAATTGCTAAATTTCAATATTATTCTATTTGTAGAGGCATTATTTATTGCATGATTTATATACTCTTGCTAATGTTACTCCACGAGTAACATGGGCCAATTATTCGCACGGGCCAATTATTCTATTTATTGAATAATATTACAATGTGAGTCCCATTGAGGTGACAATAGTGTAAAAATTCGAAATGGGTTAAGTTCGAATTTCTGAGCTAAGATACAGAGGGTAAAACCTACACAAATTTTCATTCGTCACATATTGCTATTCTAAAGGTTGGAGTTAATACGGTGAATTAATTGCCTACATAAAGGACGTCTGAAGGATATTGCGGTCAAAATATCTATAAGCAAAGTAAGTAAAAATGCATTTATTGCAAATGCTTTCAGGTTGTGGCTTTACATAAGCTTGACAAGTAAAAATACCTTATATCGTATTTTATGACTTTGTAACGATTATGACTACTGTGACCTGACCTAAAGATCTACAAAGATTCTGTATAACAGATAGATAAAAAATATGCATAGGTACATATACTTTAAATATTTGATATGCTGCTGGAATCCGGTTAGCTTCTACATTTTGGTGTTAACTTCTTTAGTTTAATACCTGTCAAGAGAGTAGAATTCAGATAGAAGTTGTGAACGGGATTAGATTAAATATAAATAGGATTGCTATTTGTATCCCAAATTCTTGATTCATAAAAATTATTTTCCACCTATTTTTTCACTATTTTATTACCAAAATAATTAATGTTTTTTTATATTTCTTATTTATTAGACTTTCTCCAGACCAATGAATTTTTAATGTGGACACAAACGATTTAAATATATTTCCTCTAACACTTGACTTAATTGTTTTTGAACTATGTAGGATTAAAATTAATGATATTTAGAAAAGTTTGTAACACATATAGAAAGAGTAATAGAATTATCAGTATTTTTACTATTAAAGCAATCCCACTAGGCACATAAAGTACTTTAGCAAATTTTTAACGAAAAGTAAAAAATTAGGAAGGATTTGCTAACCCCTAAAATATTGTATTGGATAATTCTGTTAAGAACCACCTTTACTATAGAAATAAGATCTTAAGTTATATTTACTTTTTTTTTTATTATTACTTACTTAATATTAAGCAAAAATATATCGTCGGCTACTTTAAAACCTCAATTTGAGCATTTTCCTAAAATAACTTTCAGTACCTTTTAACAGCTTAACATGGAAATTTTCCCTAAAAATAAACTGTGTAAGCGGAGTAATTAAGGTGAAATATTAACTCAAATTAATTAGCCCTCCTCTGCTACGTAAATAATTTATGCTTCTAGTTTATCTTGCTAACAGAATTGTCCTTTTCAAGTATTTGAACGTAATTTCAATTTCAAAAGAAAAACAATAAACAAACAATTTTACTTGTACGAGTATCTGTGACTTCACGTTAGAAGCCACGTTTCCATGGCCACCCTACCACGGTAAACAGAAATTGGCTAAATAACTTTGTTCTGGCAGCAATTAACTTTTACAACCGCAACCGCCAGTCTTTGTTCAAGAACAACAGCAAAAATTATAAACACAACCAATAAAAGGCAAGTGGGGTGGAAGAGTGTTTCAGGTCAATCCGACATCAAAGGTGCACTACGATTTGCCGTTGATTTGCCGTAGCGGTAATTGTAAGCGAACCACACACTCTTCAAGAAGAGTGTTATGAGCAAAAAAGTGTAAATTCTTGTTGTTATAGAACAACGGCTTGAGTAGTTACGAAATTCTAGAAAGCATAGTAAGCAGGAAGTAAGTATAAGCAGAGAGAGAGAGAGAGAAAAAGGCATATTTGCGCATGAAGTTGAAGATGAGAACGAGTGTGTGTGCTTGGATGGGCTGGTTAAATAAATAAGTACAATGGATATGCTCGTTGCAGAAATGAGTGGAAAATATATCACAGATAATTTTGTGTACGAAAAAGGAGAGCAGCAGAGAATACGGATGAAGTAATAGTTCAATAATCTTTTGTCTTATTTATTTAAGTTTAGTAAAAAATGGGATATTAGGTTAAGTTAGAGTGGACGCCTTGTGTCTAAAGCCCACTTGACCTCAATTAAAGGCTCGTTTTGATACCACAGAAAAGCGTTGTTCATATATAAACCTGAAGGATTGCTGTGGCAGCAGTCACTTTCAATTGAAAGACCTGACAAGTTTATAAACTTGGAGAAGTCCATTACTTTGCAGGATAACAGCTGCGTGCAGGATGATATCCTAGTCTGTAACAGATACTGACACATGATGAGGAGTACAGTTTCTGTCTCATTCCCATAGCAAGAATCCCGATAAGTCATTTTAGGATAGATCCAGGAGCAATAGTTTAGTGGCTTCTAGTCGTAGACTCGATCGCTTTTGGAACACAATTAGGATTATCACGGTAGTTGTTTTAAAAAGAAAAATCGCTTGCAATGGAATTGCAGATATGCTCATAAAATACGATTCCGCTATCCAGTTCTGCGTGCCGGAGTCGGACAACTAATCATTAAAGTTAATGTTTAAATTGACAAATTGTTATGAATTAGAAATAAACATAGCTAATGCTTTAAAGTTTCCTAGCTTTACAATGATTAAATAGCTCACGTATACCCGTACTTAAATATTTTACTCCTTATTTACTTGGGTCTGTTCGACCAACTCAACAGCTCATCCTGTTTGAAACTACTAACGAAGTTGATCTGCTAATTTCATTTTTGTTTTGGTTAATACAATTAACTATAATAACAACGGATGTAGATGTTCCCCTATCTAGGATGTAGACCCAGCCGCTACTAGGATCACATAATTCATTAATTTTCCTGTTTTCAAAGTAACCACATATAGGTTACAGCTATTATTAGATATCAATCCACTAACATACATATTTAAGACATCATTACAATATTATATTTAAACTATTTCTACATATGGCGAAACCTCGCACAGCCGACTTCAAGGTACCAGCGCGAATTACTTAGGAGACCATTCCGTTTATAATAACGTAACCTACGTTTTAGTGAGTTTACACAATTCCGTCTTTATCCCGAAGAGGACGAAGCTTTTTTAAAATACTATGTGAACATCTTAATTTTTAGATTTAGTCTTTAAACTGTAAATACTAGACTAAAAGTGTTGTAACTTCTTCTTTGGTCGACTTTAAGACCGGGTCTATATTGCGTATGTACACGTCAATACAATTCCGGTTAGCATTCTCATTCAGCGACTTTATAAGTAGCTTTATGGTTTTGTATTGTTATCCTCCCCACATCATCTTCTTCTTTCCCAATAAGTATAAGTCTTAACAAAATTATTTTTGACTTTCGTTGAACAGACAAAATGTCTTCTGTTTGGTTAGCCATAAAACATCTGTTTTGGTCGCAATTTATCTAGTTCTTTTGGAAGATTTTATCAGTATCAATCACTAAAAAGCTAATATCATCTATAACGACGAGAAAAAGAGTTTGTAAATTTTCTAAACACAACTATAATTAACTAAATGAGCACGAAGCTGGTCAAAGCAGATAAGGAGGCAAGGAATCAATGATGTAACCTTATTTGCATTTATAGTCATTAAAGTGACGTTAAGTCAATAGCGATAAATCTTTCTACTTGTCACCCAAACACTAAACTCTAAGCTTATCAACATTGTCAGCGGTATTATGACCGTAATCAGCTTAATAAGGAACTACAATTTTAGTTGCTGCTAATACCTTTTGCCATTGTGTGACCAACATCTAAAAGCCAACGAAATCCGTGTAGGCCTAATAAGACCTAATAAGGAATTATGACTGTAAAGAAAATGTAAAGAAAATTTTTAGACTCAATTATGCTATGGAAATACATAATCGGATTGTTATTTTGGTTGTGGTAAAGCCTCACCAATATCCATTGTGTGGCTTCACAAGCAAGAAAAGATAAAGGAAACGCTGTTAGGGTGAAACACGAAGGGGCTGCTGTTGAGAGCACAGAAGGACAAGGGTAACATAACTTTAATATAAATTATGTTTAACGCTATCTGGGCTGCAAGGAGTATATAGATAAATGTGAGTTTTGGCAGTTGTGAGTGGGTCAAAAGGATGTGCGGTAAATGACTCTTTGTGCAGTTTTTCATGGTCAAGAACACAATTTAATTTTTTTTTTTTTTGTGTATTTAATTTGAATGTATTAAATATTGAAATACTTTCCAACAAAAAGGCAGTGTCTAATTTATTTGTTGACATTATGTGTTTAACTTTTGACTGTAAGAGTAATTAAACTTCCCCCCCTGACAAATCTATCGGTATGGAAAGAACAAACCGGAAGGAAATATGAATAAGAGAAAAACGGCGGTATTTAACATTTATTTAAACGTAAAAATATTTCTGATTCTTATTCCTTCTCTTCAACCTTCTTGGTCGCTTCTGATTTCGTACAATCAAGAAAAATAATTTTTAGCATAGATTTGTGATTAGGGATTAATTAAGCATTAAATTAAACATTCTTTGAAATTAGGATTTTGGGTGGTATTTAGTTTTTAGTTAATAGCATGTAATTTATTTTCTTTTGAAACAGTGCTTAAGAGGTATAAAACAAGAAAAGAAAAAAAATATCTTCACAGAGCATTCTTCACTTTAACGAATATAACAGATGTTGTTTTTGTTATTGTACATTTTCTAGAAATCCTGAAAGCAGATTAGCTGTTTAGGTTCCGGTTGGGATTCATGAGCTGGAGTTGGTTGCCTATTCCGGCCATTCCGGATGAATAACTCCGCAATGGTACTTTGAATTTTATATATCGCGAAGAATGTGACTTTCATACATTAGAATTCGTTGAATATCTGAAATATCTGTGAATAAAACGAATCCGGATGTAATAATAGAGAAGCTAGAACAACTGCTCTCGTAAGTACGAAACCCTAAGTATTTAGATTAAAAGTGAAGGTTTCACATGCAGAGAATTGGAATAAAAATACAATTATAAAACCAAGAAGAGGAGATTGCCTGTGAACTTTTACACAATAAGACAAGCAATGATTCATTTTTATGGACAAGTGGTGTTCAAAAAAAGTCTAATTATGCCATCAATCAGCAAATTCCTCAAAAGGTAACACATATAAATGTTATTTTAACTCACCCGCAGCCGATGTGCCTCATCAATTGTGGCGGATGCATGATAGCTTAATACTTCCAAGGTGACACTCTGCTTAGCCATAGCAACAATAGCTTTCTCATACATGTGAGTATTGTGTATGCCCATGCCGCAGAATATGGCGAATGCTTCAACAAAGTTTTCATCATTTTTGGTAAAGTTCTATAGAAGAAGGCAGAAGGAAAATAAAATGAAATAATTTTTAGAGATATTAATTTTTAATAAAACCTTAGCGCAACTTACCAAATCATCAAATTTATTTATTAGTTGTATAACACCTATAATTTGTCCCAATGAATTCTTAATAGCCATGCATAGTATGGATTTGTGTTTAAAAGTGGAATTGTCATCAACTCTTGGATCGAAGCGATCATCTTTATAAGCATTTGGTATATTAACAGTCTGATAGACCGAAATATATATATATATAAATAAAGTGTTATTGTATAGTACTATAATTACAGTTATATATTACTCACCTCACCCGTTGTAGTCACATAACCAGTTATACCTATATTAATGGGAAATCTTGATTCATACGGACTTGTACGTGATGTGGAATCTTCTTTGCTCAAATCGTTCGCTTCAAAATCGAACACACGCGAGAAGCTACCTTTGGACGCTTCATGTACTAGCAATATTTGCACTCTTTGGCATTGTATAAGACTTTGCATATGTGTTAGGATACGGAATACCATGTGCTCAATGGTGCTTTGCTCCTCGAATATCATTCGAGCTAGATCCAGCAGCACTTGATTACGTTTAACTTCCAATTGAGATTTCTCATAGAGTTGTGCATTGCGTAAGCCGATGCCACAGAATTGTAAATAGGAAGCAAATACCTATCACAAAAACAAACAAAATATAAAGAAGATTATAAAATAATATAGTCTGTTTAATTGAGAAAGGCCGCTGAACAACAACAAATTATATAATATAAAAAGTAGCAGACACCGATCTTAAAATGTGTTATAATTCTTCTATGCGATAAAAAAGTTTCTTTATTGATCTTTTAATAGGTTTAGTTAAATTTGGGATTGTCAATTGTTTCATTTGTATTGACGTCCAGAGCTCCACTTGGAGTGCACCAAATCGTTTTTCTTCGAGACATCTGAGTGTCCGACTGTAAATAGTCAAAATTCGAAAATCGAAGTGATAAAGGGTTATTCAAAAATTATTCATTTGAAAAAGACACAATTTCATTTCTTCAATAAATTTGTTCCGTTTAAAAATAGATTAATATTTTTACCCTAAGTATAGCTCTCCCAAAATCCCTTTCTCTTTCAAAGAGAGAAATTTTTCAAATATTTCTCGTAACTAAAATGTGAAAAAAAAAATTTTAAAAAATATTTAAAAAATTAATTTTTTTAAGAACGAGGGAGTGGAATTAATCTTTAAAATCAAGTTCCGCACTAATTTAGTTATTGTCAGAGACCCAGATGTCTGATAGGAAAACGTCAACAAAATCAAAATAAGCTTTAAACATAACAAAATCAAAAAAAATATACTTAATTTTTTTAAAATAATGTAGTAAATATTTTAATTTAATATTTGCACACCTTTTCATCTGTTTCAGAGAAACATTCACCATTTAATTTATTAATGACTTGTGCCACACCAATTACATCGCCTGAGGAGTCCTTAATGGGCATGCACAATAACGCTTTTGTTCGATAGCCAGTCAATGTGTCAATTTCACAATTGAAACGTTTATCCTGAAAGGAAAGAGTTTAATTACTTTATTTAATAATATACAATTATTAATCATTTTTCAATTCCAGAGAAGAACAGATAATGCCGCTCACACATTAACATAAATATATACCTACATACATATATAATTACATAAAACAATAGATCTTGAAATTTTTAACATTTTCAAATACACTTTCGCAATAGATATTCCTGGCTTATCGCTTATTTCGAGACTTAAGTCAAGTTCTGAAAATTCCAATATCCTTTTTGTTGTTCGACATTTTTTATTCCATATGTCATAAGAGTTTTTTTGTAACTTTTTAAATCAAGACTAAGAAAAGTGTGACTGACCACTTAAACTTAATTCATGCGATAAATTTTGGGTCACATATTGCCGTCATGGCAATTCGAAATACACTATAAAATACACTATAAGATTTGTATTGTAAGGAGATTTGTTTAATTGGTAAAATCTGTCCATTATAGCATACTGCATATCACAAATATTAATAAGTATATTTGACATATTTACCAAGAGTCACACTAACAATTTTTTAACAGATTTCTAATAATAACAACAAATACATAATGTTTACGACACTTGTACTTGTACGCGAATATATAGGCCACAACCTTAATTCAAACCAATGCATCCAGACATGGCGTCGCTGCATAGGTTCAAAACTAGTCGTCTTTTCTATGATGTGGAAAAGACGCCCGTTGTAGTCCAGTTCATAAAATTGAAAAAAGTATGGCTTCCCGAAAAACTTGACTTCTTTTTACGTTACAATAAACAATTTTAATTAATCAATTTGTTTTAAATTAATTTTATTGTAATTTGGTATAATAATAAATTTAGATTCAACTAAAAATTATGTTTATTAAAATTCACGCAATAATTTCACTTAATCTCGTTTTATACAATTACACGTGTATTCCTAGAAAATCAAGAAAACCTAGAACATCTACAAAAACGTGAATAAAAAAAAACACGATCACAACACGAACGACAATGCATTAAGACTCAGTTAGACGATACGTAACGTAAGAAATTAATTCAAAGCGAAATGCACAACAAACCAAACCTGCGTATTTGATAGGAACGAAATAAACAAAGTTCAGCGTTTTTGTTTAATTCGTTCCTGTCAAATACGCAGGTTTGGTTGGTTGTGCATTTCGCTTTGAATTAATTTCTTACGTTACCTATCGTATAACTGAGCCTTTAATTTAGAGAAACGCACATCAAGAGATTTTTAAGCGAAAGTTTGCTATACTCCATTTCATTAAAAATGGCCGCCGAACAACAACAAATGACGCACCAAAAAATAATTGAAACCTGATTTGTTCTGTTTTTTCTTATTATGTTATTGTTCCTTTCTATTGATATTCACTTCAGCCTGCATTTGTCGTTGCTGTGCCGCATCCCGTTAAGTAGAATGCGCCAGTGGAATGTGCATAGCAACGCATTTTCCAAAAGTGCTGGTGTTCCTATTCACACCACTGGATGTTGATTTAATTCAAGCAAACATCGCCGATGTTGTACCTACTGCTATTCTAAAGGGTACACGTAAAACTAGCTTTGCTCCCCACCAATTACGAACAGAGGCAAACAAATGCTGTTGTGTTTTCTGCTTTTCGTAACCGAAGTTTTGGTATACGAAACTAAAAACCAAAGACAATGAGGAAATATGACAGTGAATCAGATTGAAAAGCAAATTAAAAAAATAAATTGTTTTACTTTTACGCTTTTATTTCTTTAAGTTCGCTAAGTTCACTAATTTTGAAAATTAAAGTGTAAACACTTAAACTTTACTTTAGCAAATAAACTAACTCGTATAAAAAATCTAAAGTTTAAGCACATCATCACATATAAAGGTAAAAATATAAATTTTTTTATAGTTTTTTATAGTTTACTTTAGCTTTAGTTCAACTAAGAATTGCAATAAAATATTAGAATATTTTTAATATGTGGATTTGTTGCAATAAAAAAGTCCTAAAGTGGCATATATTAATTAACCATTAATGCGTTGTCTGATGTTCTTTGGTAGGGAACATCATAAAAATGGTTTTATATGGCAATACTTGCGATGTGTGACTTTATTTGATTTCGCGCTTTGGTCGTAGTTTGACGATAGGAACAAAGTTTGTGACAGAGAATTTAATCCAAAAAGAGCTGCGAATATTCTAAAACGTAAAATGAAACGTAACGAGTTAAATACTAATCGGAATAAACCGATAGGTGCAAAAATATGGGTACAAACCAAACTGCCGTTTGTACCAGTAGGTACGTTTGAAGGAGCAGCCGAAGCCACACGCGAAATGCATAAGTATGGGAATGAATCGTGCAATGATGTTGAGAATCTACAAAACCATCAAGAGCAAGACCAAGTAGCTACTTCATGTAAAAATATTATTCAAGTGAAATTATTGTTTTTATTTTTAGGTTGATGGCGATTCGGCCGACGACACATCCAACAAGTTGTGGCCGGAGGATTTACATTTAATATTACCATCAGAAACAGAAACGGCATCAGATCACGAATTGGAAGGTATAACTAATAACCCAGCTACATGTCAGGAACAGGACCAAGTAAGTTAGCTACTTTATGCAAAATTATTATTTAAATAATATCATCACTTTTATTGCTTGGTTGATGAGACGGAAGTCATAACACAAAGTCCAGTCAAACAAGAAGCTATTAGTATTGGTGATGATAATTGGCCATATGGAAGTGTAATATTACCATCAGAAACAGAAACGGCATCAGATCACGAATTGGAAGGTATAACTAATAACCCAGCTACATGTCAGGAACAGGACCAAGTAAGTTAGCTACTTTATGCAAAATTATTATTTAAATAATATCATCACTTTTATTGCTTGGTTGATGAGACGGAAGTCATAACACAAAGTCCAGTCAAACAAGAAGCTATTAGTATTGGTGATTATAATTGGCCATATGGAAGTGTAATATTACCATCAGAAACAGAAACGGCATCAGATCACGAATTGGAAGGTATAACTAATAACCCAGCTACATGTCAGGAACAGGAACAAGTAAGTTAGCTACTTTATGCAAAATTATTATTTAAATAATATCATCACTTTTATTGCTTGGTTGATGAGACGGAAGTCATAACACAAAGTCCAGTCAAACAAGAAGCTATTAGTATTGGTGATGATAATTGGCCATATGGAAGTGTAATATTACCATCAGAAACAGAAACGGCATCAGATCACGAATTGGAAGGTATAACTAATAACCCAGCTACATGTCAGGAACAGGAACAAGTAAGTTAGCTACTTTATGCAAAATTATTATTTAAATAATATCATCACTTTTATTGCTAGGTTGATGAGACGGAAGTCATAACACAAAGTCCAGTCAAACAAGAAGCTATTAGTATTGGTGATGATAATTGGCCATATGGAAGTGTGACAGAAGTAATAAAATCCTTGTTTTCTGTAAAAAAGGATTCATGTAAACGTGTAAAAAGAAGGGGTCCTTGTATTAAATTTTTTTATTTCTATGATGATCCACAGCAATCATATTATGGCACCTGGAGCAAACGAAGTAGTATAATAAGCCCAAGGCAACCGTTTGCAAAAGATTTAGTATGCTCATTTAAATAAAAAAAAGATAATTTTTATAATATAATACATTTTAGGAAGTTTGCGATTATAGGTATGAGTTTGGTTACGAGTGGAAAGAGAAGGCTTTGAGGAAAAACGAAGAAGAATTGCAATACGAAGACGACGCCATCACTATTGAAGCTCAGAATATTGCAGAAGATCCAAAAATAGGCCAGAACAGCAAGAAAATGAAAGGTGGAATTTTGGGATGCTTTTGGGCTGTCGAAAATGGTAACAAGCCAGATGGATGTCCACAAGAAATTTGGGACGAATTCAATAAGAATGCCATGTTATAAAAAAAATAATCTTTTAACAAATATTATTGTCAAATGTAGACCTTTAGCAGACTGTGAACAATCATTTATTAAGTCTACAAGTTGATTTTAACCTAGAAGTTAAATAACTTATATGGATGCTTGGTATTACTTTTATTATAAACCAGCTGTCATATTTTTCATTTTCAGCAAAGCATAATGATAATAATAATGTATACAAAAATATGAATGTATGTATAGTTATAATATAATGTAAACAAGACTTAAAATTAAAAATCCGGATGAATATATACATCTTTTTCTAGCTAGTATCAGTAATAGAAGTAATAGTGTGTAGATTCTAAGCATTGCATGTTGTGTGTAGATAGTTAAAGTGAAACGTGACTGCTTCTTGAAAATTTTAATACCAATATTTATTTACTAATATATTTACTAATAAATTTTAAATTAAATAAATTATTTTAAATATATATATAAATATATATAAAGATGTAAATTTAAATTAATATGAGCCTATAGGCCTAAGTGGATCCCCCTGGCATCGCCGGTATAACCTAACCTAACCTAAATTAATATATCTTTTTTGTACAAACCTGATAGGCGTCTGGTATGTTTACTGGCTCTCCACTTTCTGCCACATGACCTGCTATTCCAGTACCCCAGGCAACGCGTACCTCTTCCTGTTGTTCCATTTCTTCCACTGTACTACGTGGACAAACATCAAACAATTTTGAAACTAGACATCTGAAAAAAATATTTTTAATTAATTAGATCTTGTAGATTCTTAGCAAAAAAAAAAAAATGTAAAACAAATGTGTTCAGAATGTATAAATTAAAAAAAAATGGCAATCCTATCATACAACTAGTCAAAAAATTGTAGCTTTAAGGTGACTGTATAATATAACATGTAGTTTTTTAAGAGAACCTAAGTAATGCTATAGGTTGTGACAAGTTGAAAAATTGCTGCAATAATAAAGAAAACTGTATCAAACTGTCTTAAATAAATTTAAACAACATACCTAACTCATTAAGGTCAGGTCACTCCTATGTTATATACATGATAATGACCTATGATAATATACTATGGTAACTATAATTTCCAATGATGATTTTACACATCATAAAATACGACGTTAATAAAGATTTAGGAGTTGGAACAATGGAGAAACATACGAAGATAGATTGTGTGCTTGAAGAGCACTACTGGTTTCTCACACCCGCCTCATTGCAGTGCAAATACAGTCAAACTTCTATAACTCGAATTTCTCTATAACTCGAATAAAAATATTGCCACGTACCAATAGGAATATGGGAAAGTGCATTCTTTTAGTCGAATTTTTATTTTAAGTATGAATCCATTTTAGTGTTAGGGGAAGTCTCTTTTTCCAAACCAAATGTGGTTTAAAGTGAATAAAATAACTTCCAATGAAACTCTTAACGATTATATTGAGCTTGACGACGAAATTTGTACATCAATCTTTCCTACAGATGACGATATTATTGAGCATTATAGCTCTCAATTAGTGGGTCCGATTCTAAGCGCAACGGAAAGTGATGATAAGTGTTCGGTAAATGAAATTGTTCATCAGTCTTCCAAGAATGAAGTAGAGAATTCATTCATAATTCTGAATTTTTATTTGCAAACGAATGACACTACAACTGATGATCACTGTAAGGCTTGGAATAAATTGGAATCTCTTTTAACTGAAAATAGAAAACAAAAAAAAAAATCCAAACCCTACTTTCAGAATATTTTTGTGCACTATTACTTCTGTGCTGTATTTGATCTGAAATAAATAAGTATCTTAAAATGTGGTTCTAGTTTCTTTCAAAAATGAAAAAAAAATAAAAAATTCTCTAACTCGAAGTCTCCATAAGTAGAACCTTTTAATTTTAGCATAAGGATCGTTTAATAATAGCTGCCAATGTGGAAACTTACTAGACTAACTAGTATGAATGTATCTAACTTATCTATCACATTTTCCACTTGGTGGATATGGTAACAAACAAAATTTTCCTTTCTGTGGCTGTTATTCTTTTCAGAATAAGATAACCAGACTTAAACATGGGTGAGGAAGTTAAATAGATTTGTAGAAAATTTAATTAGAACATGAGTGAGTGGTATTTACTTTTTGGGGTAGCATCAGTATCGACTATAGACGAGAACGTAATTGATATTTCATTTTTAATACTTAATTATTATTTTTATGGTGTGTAAGGACAATAAAATTAGAACAAAACTAAAGTTTTTTTTTTAACAGATACTTTTTTACCAGATATATTTTTACCAGAACCACTGAGATTGTAAGTGGAAGTTTGACAAACTTCTCAAATGAAATAATACGGAATACGAAATGTAATAGATTGATTTTTGTTATATTTTTGCTTTGTTAATTCTATTGTAAAAAGTTTTGTGTAAACTTTGTGCTTTGGTGCAAAAGTAGTTTCCTAAGGGCCTTAAATCATTTTTTAATACTTGGATTTCTCTGAGACTACAAAAAAGAAAACAGTATGAAAAAAACTGTTACATTTTGCAGGAAGCAATAAAATTTATGGCAATTTTCATGGTCACCAAGAACAAAGCCATAAAAATTTTCCAAATCAGTTTAACAAGCGTCCAATAAAGTTTTCCTAAATGACTTTTGCTTTTCTTTAAGTGGAAATATTTTGTGCTCCAAGCATTTTTTGTCTTTTTTTGAACTAAAAGATGTTTACTTTCGATTTATATATATATATATATATATATATTAAGCGGAGAAGGACAATGTATATAATGCTTAGGATATTCAGCTATGTAATCTGCATTGCAGCATTAAATAGAAAAAAATTTCAATTATAACTAATAAAACTTTTCCAGCTTGTAAGTAATAGTATATAAATCTAGAAAAACACTTCGAAAAACCAAACAAATTGATTGTTAAAAACTAATGATAGTGTATATATGTAAATTTCACAAATCTATAACAAAAGATGGCTTGGATATAATATACTCGGACACCGCAAAATATCTCGGCATAAGAGTAGAATCAAAGTTATAATGAAAGCATCATAACTATAACTAAATTAAGAGATATGAGCTAGATTTGCCATAATGCCATAATGTGTATTGGCATATATGATGGTAATTATGGTAATCCCAACACAACAAACTGCTAATTTATTAAAAAAAAAACATAGATGATATGGCATTATTATTTCTTTAAATTCTAAGTATATTAAACTGTTGGAACTAGTATCGAATCTTCAATTCTTCGATTCAAAATAAATTTCTTATTTACCTATATTTCTTAAGATTAATATCTAAAGTGTCTGTGCTTTATAGTAACACTTTTATTGACATTTTAGTATATTCAATGGTCATTTTAACTATGGCCTACTTTTCACTTTATACGAAACTAAATAAAAAAACAAAACCACATTGTTTAAACTTTAATCAATGATTCTTTAAGTAAGAATCAAAGGGTCAATATTAATCTTCAAATCTTTGTTTATAGATCTGTTGTTTTACTCATGTAAAAATATTTCTTATTAAGCTAGTTAAGATTGAAATTTAAGGAGGTAAATCCTAGGTATATTTATTATCTAATAATAGCAGAACACAAGAGAAGAATAAAAAGGTGGGCTGTGTGCTTTGTCCTTCATAAAGCTAAACTAAATCTACAAACTTTAAAACTCAATATTACTATATAATATATATTATAATATATAAAAAATATTACTAGTTTGAAATATTAAAAAAATAAATAATTTTTTTTTTCTTAAATATCACACTGGGTACACTGGGTAGTGTACAGTATATTAAATCATTTACTAAAAAAAGGCGATGCCTCCTTATTTTCCGTCGATATTGCATTTTTTTCTTAATTATTTGAAGAAGAAAGCAAATGACAAAGATAAATTGCTAGGCGAAAAACTAAAAGATAATCTAAGCACTTTCACCCTTTCTGATTGATAGTTGTGTACTATATCTTATAGCCTTTTGAAACTACCGCTTCCACTCGCTTGATTGTTGGCAGAAGATTTCCAATTTTAATATGGAATTTCTTGTTAAGCAAAAACCTGTTAGTTAGTATTAAAAAATCTGCAGGAATGGACTGACCACTCATTTAACATATCTATATTTAACATATATGGCCAAAATTATAATTATTTTTTTCTGCTGTCTTCAAATGTACTGTATTCTCGCCATTTATAGAGTTCAGTAGAGTGTTTTTTGTAAACTCACAAGAAAAGATATAAACTGTTTTATGAGAAGATATGACTTTTATTTGACTCCACGACAATGATCATTAGTACAAGCTTTTATATCTTCATCAAAATGCCTAGCGGGATAATTACATTAATATTTACCGCTAATAATTTTACTTTTACTAGTTGTAATTAAGTGGTATTCTCTTCTTTAAATCGATATTGTTCGTTCGGTATCATGTTTCAACTTTCTTCAGTCTGATAGCTTCAATGACAAGAAGTAAAGTTATTGGACGTCACAATGACATAATTGGATGACACAATTACCTATCTGGTAGATTTTTGATATATACTATAAATTGATGATTGTATTATATCTTGGTCTTGACCTCTTTTTCAGACTTGATGCTTGACTTTCTTTTTATTTCACTTGCCTACTGATTCTCTCCTAATCTCATTATACTAATTACTTTAATTATAAAATTTAATGTTTGTTATATATGTAACAATGTATGTATACTTAAATGTCTTGATTATTTTTTGATATAACTAAAAATGTTCTCATAGCAAAATACTCAACTAGTAACGGATAAATAATATTTTTAAGTTTTTTTTTATTTTCATAAAAATTAAAAGATTTTTTACTATTCATTTTGTAAATTTTAAGTGGCAAATGGATGCTCACACATCAAATTTAATTAAAAAATACAAGAATAAAAGCTGTAATTTAAATTAATTTTTTTTTATTTTAACTTGACACAAAAAAATTATAGAGAAAAATTTGTTTCGTTTTTTCAAAACCAAATCGAAAGGACACAGGACACAGAACACAGGACAACGCAATTTCTCGTCCTCTCGGAGCTGTTCCGTAATTTCAGCTAATTAATCACATTTACGACCTTGACGCTTTAAATTAAGAGCCAAAAGGTTCAATTGTGACTGGAGCTACTAACAGCGGAACATAACACAAAGACTCGCATCGTGGACATAGTGGATGCAGTGGATGAAGTGAATGGAGAACAAAAATGATTTGTTGTTTTTTATTTTAAAAATTAAAATTAATTAAATTTTCTCAGCTTTTTTTTAATGAAATCAAATTTTTTTTTAAATTTAATTTAATTAATTGCTTTACATACTTTTTAGGTCCATCGCTGCTATTGCATCGTCCTTGTACCAAAAACAGTGAACCACGATCAGCGTTTAACAATATTGAAACGTTTTGTAGAATTTTGTGACATAAAGTGCGCACCTCCAATTCATTGCAGATGTCCTTTACCTACACAAGAAAGATGTAATTAATATCATCAAACAATAAGAAAATTGATAGTTCAAATTTTGTTTTGTATTAAGCAATTAATTGAGTTGCTGAAGAAGAAGACAGAGAAAATGGGTTAGAAATTGAATTTCTCAGAATTTCAAACTTCTTTTCTTTATCTTCCTCTTCGTCCTCATCTTTTACTTTAGCAACTTAATTAACTGCTGCTTTGTCTTGAGTAAATATTAATTTTCCAAGAGCTCAACTCTTAATTACAAGTTAATAATAACAGTTAAGTATATATCAGTATATATAAACACTATACACTATACACTACTACTACTACAATATTGTTGGCGTAGTGTTCGCGTAGTGTTCGCTTATTGTTCGCTTAGTGTTCGCTTAGTGTTCACTTACCAATTCAAAAATCAGTTCCTTTTCGTCCAATTGTTTTAATTCGTTCCTTGATAAACGCTGCGGCCGATGGTAATTATGGTGACTGCTCGTCCCTGTCTGATGATTGTGCAGATGATTATGATGATGATGGTGATGATGATGACTGTTGCCAACACCACCACCACCACCGCCTACGCTGCCATTACTGGTAGGATTGTTGTTTGTAGAGCAATCATTTTGTGTGCCTATGCTTAGAAACGTTGGTGTGCCATCAATGGTGTTGACAATTGGCTTAAGCAGCCCACCGCGTTCAAATTCATGAGCAGATATTTTTCTATATACACCATCATATTTTTTATTAATAGTACATATATATATATATGTGTGTGTGTGTGTGTGTGTAGTTGAGCATAAATATATATATCAGTTTTTCGCACAAGTGTATGTTCGCGCAAAGGTGCGATGTAAAGTACAACAAAAACAATTATTAAAGTATAAATGACGGTGTAGTTTTTTGTTGTCAACATGGCGCGTTGTTGTTGTTTTTGTAATTATTTAGTTTTTATAATTATTTTGTTTATTGTAAACGTTTGTACACGTTTAATTGTTCCCATTTGTGCCATTTGTGTAGGGATTCCATACGAAGACCAAACGAGCCGGCATTATTAATAAAATAAAGAGAAAAAAAAAACAGATACATAAATAAATATAGATAATATATTTATAGTATTTATATAGTAAAAAATATTTATTTATAATTGTTCCTATTTATATTTATATGAAAATATTAAAAAAATAAATACTTAAATTAGCAAATATAGCGACAGGACTCCATACATAGGTGTATTTAGTTAAATTAATATTTAAATTAATAATTAATATTAATTTAATTTAATTTAAGGCACACGGTCTTATTAATGACCGTGTGCGATTTCGAGTAAATTAATGGTAAAATAAGGGAAATAGTAAATAATATCGGTATAACAGCGAATATTGGTATTTGCCAGAATTTCGATTAGGGTAAATTAGGTAAAAATTATTAGGTAATAAAATTATTATTAGGTAATAAAAATTTTCATACATTTCCAAAAGTTTAACAGTTTTTACAGTTGATGAAAACACAGTCTTACAAGGTCGAAATGTTCAATATCATTTTTGATAATTTTTATCATATTTCGTACTTTACTATGTACTGGAGTATCGCATTTTAAAACACTACTTCAAGAAACTTCTCCCATTATTACTACATTGCATCAAAATAAACAATGCAATAGATTATTGGCGAGTTAGTAATAATTTAAACCAAATGCGAATTATAAATTATTTGAATTATAAATTATTTTTGTACCTAGACCATAAACTACAGACTACAGAAATTTAATTCTCATCAACTAAATGGAAGTTTTACGTTAAAAATAGAAAATCTTTCCTACACGGTATGTCTTTGATTTTAATATAATTATATATCTTATAAATAAACAATCCATTCCATTCGTCTTCGTCTTCTTGTTAGCCTTAGGAATATATCAGTGACTTTACTTTCCGACCGAAAAATATTTATATTAATTTAGTTTTGAATATTACAATATTTTGGTATAGAAAGATATTCATAGTGGAATCAATTTAATGAAGTATTGCGTATTACCTTCATCATCCTTGCAACACAAATAATTTGATTTAAACACAATAAAATCATAAATTATATATAATTAAATGCATAGTAGCCAACAAAATAATTTATACTCTAAAATATATCGCGTCAAGAATAATCAGAAGCTGAGAAGAATAAAGACTGACTAATACCATAATTCATAATCCTTTTTTTTTTTTTGTACATTATAAACTTAAGAACTTTTGTAACATATAAGAACTGGTAAGAAATTACTATCTTATGTTAATATTAAATGTAATATTCATTTAAACAACCTCCCTTTTAAGATCTCTTTCCACTAATGACACCCAATCAAGGGAAAAGTAAGAGGAGTTGCAGTGGTGGTGACATTTTTGGACCAGATATATCTCTTTCCACCAATGACACTAATCAGGGAAAAATAAGAGTTGCGGAGTTACATCAGATATATATTCTGATTCGAAAAATATATAATTGGTTATATTCTCGTGTAGATATGAGATGTAGTACTACAATTTATATTCATCAAAAAATATCTTCAGTTTATATGAAGCTGAATACATGAAAAATCTATACAGACTATCTGCAACATAAAGAGTACTAGTACAAATAAAAGGTTTCATAAAATCGCACTTTACTTTTTGAAATAATGAACTTATCCCATTTGATCTTCCAAATTTTTCGTTAAATATAATATGAAGTGATGTGTAAATATGATACCGATATACACGGCTAATAGGCAATTGAAGGATTGGTGATTGGTTCTTTTAGTCTGTCTAGAATATTTTCCGAACAAGATTGTGTTGTATGTCTTTAATGGATAATGGATAACAATAAATTGTTAATATTATTGTTTATACTTCGTGAATTGCAAAATTTATAAATATTTTATTTTTTCACTATAATGATAAGTTTGCCCCACTGTCTGTTAATTGGTAGTAAAGCTAAAGTTTACATTTATTTCATTTTGCCGTTAACAACATAGCAACAACAATTTTGTAATGCTGTGGTAAATTGTTGTTGGCGGCGGCAATGTTTTTTGTCGTCGTCACCTGTTGCAAGTATTTAACGAAACGCGAAACTACGAATGCTGTTAGTAACATAACCCACAAAATCTGCGGCAATTCTAGTAATGGACACAACGCGCAAAATTCGTCAACAAAATTTACCGAAACTATCGTTACCAATTTTTGTTGTTGTTTTTGTTGCTGCTGCCGTCACAGCTGATGGTGTTTATTGTTTGTACTCTAACGTCTAACGGCTAACGTACCACCACGTTGAGGTGAGGTACGAGCATGTCGTACGTTTATTGCTTGTAATCGAAAACAATGAACGGGACCAATAAAATCTCAATAACATGACGAAGTTAGATTTACTGTTGCCACGATAGTGGTAAGCACCAGCATGGAGTAAGTGTTAGAGAGGTGTTGGGAACAAGAGGGGGAGTGTCAGTCAGCTCAGACGCAGTTGTGTGTGGGTTGACACAATTATATGTGTATTGGAGAGGAGAGGAAGAAGAAGCAAAAAATAAAACAATTACGGGGCAACAACAGACAGCAGACAACAGTGAAGCAAAAAATACGAATACGACGACGAATATGAACCAATTTTTGTGCATGAAGGCGCAAAAAATGAGCTAATGAATTTTACACCCACGATGGCAAGCATTTGGCAAGCATTTGGCAAGCGTTAAGTCATTAAAAAGATTACACCAACAAAAAACTCAATGAAATAAAATAAAAAAATTCTTTTCATATAAATAAAATAAGAAAAGAAATTCATAAATATGTATGACAAAAAAAAAAGATTTTTCTATAAAATTTTTTAATGAAATGTAGGCGCAATAACAAATTCAATTTGTTGTTGTTGGGATTGTGTAAATTTTATTCACACAAAAACATTTGAATTAATTTTACAATAAAAAAATTCTTTTCTTCGTAATTGCAATCTGCAATTTCCAATTGGTTGACTTACCTGACTGGTGTAGTGGCACCAGAGCCACCACGTGATGAGCAATTTTGTCCGTTTGCATGTGTGGGTGAACCGGCGGACACATCATTACCGGCTGATGTTGCATGTGAGACCAACCAAGCGTCAACAACTTGACGTGTTGCTTTTCTGTAAACAAAACAAAAAAAAAAAAAAGATTATATTTCAAAGAAAATTCCATCAAAATAATAATGAAGAAAAGAAAATAAGAAAATATAATGTTAACTTAAGTTTTTTTAGCACCCACACACACATACACACACGCACAAATTAAATATTAATTATTTATGATTGACTTAATTATATTTGTTTTAGTTTTGATATAAAATTTGTTGTAACTGTATATATCTAATAATATAAACGTGAAGTAAGTGGATTTCTATACAGTCCCCATGCAAATATTCCTTTAACAAGACACAATTGTCTATAAACATAGAGGCCTGACAGACACACAGACAGACCGGAATAGCTACATCAAGAAATTTCATGATAATGATCAGGAATAGACAATTGTCACTGTACATTCTTACCACATAAATGATTTTTCTCACAAAAAATGGGCGATTATTTGTTTTGAAGTGCTTCAATCACGCACAAGTTATATTAAAAACATTCGTACAGCCTCAGATGGTATTTAGTTTAAGGTTCATTCGCATAAGTTTATGACTTTTCAACTACTATAATCTCACAATCTCAAAAATGTGGCGTCATCGTAGTTTACCGATGCACTTTAGTCCGAAATTTCTTCTTTACACTAACACCCAATTTCTAAGGTACTTTTGTAGGGCCACAAATCGAACTAAAACGATTAAACCTTCTGCGTAAATGAGTTGGGGTCATAAATATCAATTTTCGAGTGGATGCTGAAGTATCCTAATGTGCCTAACGTTAGTTATGTTATGTTGAGCCTTTTTCTGAGTTAGTGCATCTGGGAACTTTTACTCTAGGGGGGTTTCTGCAAAGTCCCGTCCATCTCACTGACTAATTTGGGTATTCCTCATAATCTTCGTGATTATTCAATGATTGATCTAAGATCTAAGTACCGCCCCGTGCGGTTAAGTACCTAATGTTCATTTAATATATTTTTTAATCTAATGTTATGATATGTGGGGATATTTTTAAATTAAAATTAAATTAAAAAATATGTAGAAAACTTCCAGTACACATTCACGTCAAGAAATTATTTGCTAAACTCAACGTATTTTAAATTATCTTAAATCTTGAATCTTGAATCTATTAGCTCCACGTTTTGTGGTTTCACTGGTAAATAGCTTATCAATGAAATTTTTACGAAATGGCAATAATACCTAGAATTTTGTTTTTAATAAATTCTAAATCTTTTGAAATTCATATGTCCTGCATGAATTAAAAACAACAAAAAGCAAAATAAGATTTAAAAAATTAAATAAAATAATATTTAATAAACAAAACAAAAATGTATTTACAACAAAACAATCTTCCGTGATATTTCGTGATTTTTTTTTCGGAGAATGTTATTTCTAGATATTTTTACAAAATATAAGGTTTATCCTCGCTCTTCCGTTTTTCTATTCCTACTTGTAAGTCTATATAAATTAAATTTTTGAAGTCATGCTGTCATGAAAAAGATTTTATTTGTAAATTTTATTATTTATTTCATTTTTTCTTTAAATTATCCTTTTGTAATAGAAGACGCAAATTCAAGCCTTGAACTTTATTGATTTTCTCTTTATTGAATTTTATCATCCTCGAGTGCTTGTCATAGTTTAAGTGTTTATGATACTTCAACTAAACACAATAATGGTTTCGGTAATGAAAGTTTTGCATTTCTGCTAATATTTTAAGGATCTCAAGAAAATGGCAAAATAAATTTTTATGCTCTTTTTTGGCTCAGGGGTATTTTTTGTGTTCATTTATAAAAAACATTAATAAAATAAAAATAAATTAAATTACTGAACTCAATAAGCTTTGAGTTGAATTAGCTTTAAGTCTTTGCTAAATCACTTGTGAGCTATGTCCGTTCCGAATGAAGTATTACCATGAAGATTGTTTTAATTCCGTTTTCAATAAGTGGAAGTAAACAGTCATTTGAACAGTCATGTGATATTTTAAATAAAATAAACTTTATTAAATAAAGTTTAGAATAGTAATCGATGGCACAGGCTGCGGACAACTAAAATGTAGAAATGGAGAAGACTATAATATAATATATTCTACTGGTACTACTCGCAGAATTCTCATTGAAGCTTAGCTGTGTTCACAGGTGGAAGATGCAAAAGGTTTTAATTACTCCAAAAAAGGCGCAAAATTGTAATTTTCAATAAATACTACTACAGAATTAATAGGCAATGAGATGTTATCCCGATGAATAGAAATTGTAGTACATAGGTCGCTCATTCTATTTGTGCTCCTATATGGTGTAGAATCATTATTTCTTTCACGGCTTCATAAGATCTTTGGTCTTCCACGAGTTGGTGAGTGCTGCAACCAAATAAACCAGGTGCCATATTAACTTCTTTACGACCGTGATATTTTTTATTAAATTCACATCCAGCGGTTTCTCGGGGTTAATCATATTGTGAAAATGGAAGATAATGCTTTAGTGAAAAAGTGTTTGATGTGGCAAACATAGAAAAAATATGTAAGGAATAACCATGTCTCTAATTGAAGGGATTACGTTGAGGGAGCACTTACAACACTAGATTTATGAAATTGGCATAGTCAAATCTGAAAAGTGAATTTAATTCCATTGCAATTATTATTTATATAATAGTTATATAATTATATTTATATTTTTTTGTTAGTACTTAGAATATTTCTCGCACGCAGTACAAACGGCTGGAACAGACTGCTGCGTAAGGCAGAAGTTCGAAAATGAGAAATTGTGGGGAATTAAGTTAGAAAATGTTACTTCTCTCACTAAAAGTTTTGTCATTTGCAAATCATTTGTAGATCTAAAATTTTAATTTGAAAAAAAAAAAAATATATTTGGTATTTTATCAAAGACTTTATATTTATTCCAAGCCCCTTTTTAAATACTTAATTTATTTGAAAGCCACGGGTTTTAGTCTTTAACTCTAGATAGCTCTGCTACATACGTGTCTTGATTATTCTCGTACTTTAAAAATAAAGTACGAGAATACTATAACTATGGATCCTACTCTGAAATAAAACTAATCCCTAAACAATTCTGTTACGGAGGTACAATAATTATTCTCACAGCTTAAGCGCGGTTAATGCTGCCTCAACAAATTATTCTATCGATACATCTTCTTCAGTTGACTATAGTTTCAAGCATTTCTTAAGCGAAAGGATTGCATTTTATTGCAGCGATATGAGCAATCTATTAGTTTATATATAATTCTGACTAAATATCCGATAAAAATGTTTCGAATACTTTCAGTCTTACTTTATTATTCTGCGATAGAGTCCATACTTCTTACTCATATAGATGAACAGGTTAAATGAATGACCTATAGAGTATCATAGTCTACTACATCCCAAAAGCATATATCTGCAAGCTGCCAAAATAGTTGAGATCCTTGACAGGTTCATACTTTTAAACCAGCATTTAAGGAATTGTAGGATCTATGAAATTAATCGACATATATTTCATTGTATCTTTTTTGTACATCAAGCTTATTTTGGAAGGATCATTTTTATAGGTCTCTTTTCCTTTGTGTCTAATTGTAACGCGAAATGCTATTTCTGAAATAGAAAATATTTGCATGAAGTAGACTACAACTCCTCTGCTGCCCATTTAGAGCCCATCGTTGGAAATCGCTATCTTTCCATGGGTTTAATCTGCTCTTATTAGCAATCTTCAGCAGTAGTACTGATAATGCATGTGCAAAGTTATTATTGTGCTAGCATTATGAGTTTAAAGTCAAGTTTTAAATATAAATACCACGCACGCCATATTATTTGTTATGAGACCCTATAATAGGTGCAGTTTACAATCTCCATATGTGTCTTATATACCTTCAGACAGACTGAAAACAGTGTCTATATTTTACTGTGAAGTGAAGTGGAGACAGTAGGGATGACCCAACTGCAGTAATGTTTTTAATTATCTTGTGTATATATAATATATATTATACATAATATCTATAGTTAGCAGCATTTCAATAAAATTATATGCTAAAAGAAATCCTCTTCCTTTTTATTTAAATCCATATATTTTAAATATTCTTCCCACTCTTTAAACAATTTACTGCATTCTCGTCCTTTTCCCAACCGAACCGAACGAATACATTTCACCTCATTAAACAAGACAAGCAGCGCAACTTTAGATAATGTCTATTAAAAGATTTTATTATAGCTAAGAAAGTTATTAAATCAATTTATTTTTTATTTGTTTTTATTTGAGTCGATTTCTTCACTCAATCCGACTGACACTGCCGCTATTCTTCCATGTCCGCGCAATATCCTGATTGTGTGCGTCTATTTAACCCCCGCAAATGTTAGCTAAGCAGAAACGTTGTTGCCTCTAAGAATGAAAATTTATTTTTATTAACGAAATTTTACTCAAATGGATAGAAAGCCACTGACGCGAATAACGGTCAAATGGGGGGAAGCTCTCGTTAACTATTCCATAAAGTGTTCAACTGTCGCTTGCAACGTCTTTTCCATTTTTTCTCTTTGTTGTGTTAATGCAACTTGTGAACTCTTTGTCCGCCCCACAATCTAGTCCAACAATGTTTCGGACTGTCTTATCCATGCGCTGAAATTGCATTTGTGTGTGAAACATTGAACAGTAATACGATTGCTAAGTAACTTAGCGGTAAGGACAATATTGCCGCGCCCTCTACCGCCCAACATTATTAACAATAATATTACACAAAGTGTTTTATGACAGTAAAATCATTTAGAAATAGAACGCTGCAGCTTAAACGGATTCATTTAATTTGCATAAGGATGTCCTCTGTTCGCCCGGTTGAACTAAGGGATGGTGCAATTCCATATTAAGTTCCATACATTACTGTGTAAGCGTGTGTAATGTTTGTGTAGGACCCAATATTAGACACAATTGTGTGTTAGTTTAAGTGCTGTTATGTGGTGTAGTGTGTTGTGATGTGATGTGGTTTGATGTGGTGGTCAAACATTTACTAAATGTTTGCTACTACGAGTTTCTATGAAACAATAGACCCCATGTATTTTGATATTCAAGCAGGAATACAAAGAGAGCTGAGCTAAGCTGAGCTGCGTATATTGAACGTCAGATGATAATAACACATATATGCTCGTGTATCAGACTAGTAACATATCCTAGGTTATCCATTTAATGATTGTTTTTTATGGAATTTTGTTTGACTTTTATTTGGTTTGCGTGCTCATAATCCAACAAATATTCCGACGCTTAAAACCAATAAAAGCACAGCACAGCACAGCATACAAAAAGGACAAGGACATGGATGAGCGTTATGCGTAAGAAAATTTATTATCTGTCATTTTAGTTTTGAATGTTTGTTTCTTTACTACTTTTTCTCGCTTTTCTCTATTTTCTAGATTTTTTCCTATGTCGAATTTTGAATTTCGCTCCTACACTGCGTCCATATGGCAAGGCAAACATTTATTAGCAAAAATGTGGTTATGTGCTGAAGTGTCATCATGTGTTTGTACTGCTTGTGGCAGCTAGATTTCTTGGTAGAGTGGTAGAGTGGTGGATTGGTGGATTGGTGGAGTGTTCTAGGCCGGAAAATACATTTCATAATTTATGTTCTCTTAATCTCGGACTTTTGCTGCTTCTTCATATCATACTGTAGGTTCGTAACAATGCGGAGAAGTCATTTTTATATTTTATTTAAATTTCCCTAACATTTCTGTTGGGTCGTGTTTTCCGTTTTTACTGTTATTTCAGTGGTAAGTGTCATGGTTATATGCTTGTAAACACCAACCAATCGAGTATCAAGTGTCATTTAGGTGTGCATTTGTTAAATAAAACTACACAGATTAACTGAATTTGTGACTACGATTTCGTGTGAGCTTAACTTTTGTAATGTACAACTTTTTAGGATATCGCCAAGGAAGTTAGGGGAGTTTGCTTTTAATTCCCTCGCATGAAAATGTTTCGCCTTTTAGATGAATTTTGTTTGTGCAGCAAATTTAACTTCAAGGATAAAAAATAGTCTTCCTTCTTTGAGTTTTTAAATATATAAACTGTATAAGTTGATATCAGTAAGCAACTAAGATTAACCATTGAGATTCGAAAAAAAAAATAATTAATTCAAACTAAAATCCTTGAAAGAATTTATGATATGATCCTTTTTGAAATATATTTCGTACTAAATTTTTATTAACATTGGTTATTATCTTTAACTTATAGCTTAAAAACAGGCAAGGAGTGAATATTGTAATAAATAAGATTATTACAAGATATTGTTGTTTGAAATACTATTTCAATATACCTTATCGTATTTTTTGGAAATACATCTCAGAGACCAAGTTCCTGCTTTATCTAAGAAATATATCAATGTTAATCGAGATAGTGGGTGTTGGAGAAAAGCATAATCAGATCAGAAACGTCTTATAAAAAGCCTGAATATTTAAAAAAAAAATTAAACCCAATAGTATTATTCATTTATTAACATTTCGTCTATTGAATATTTGCCCCAATCAGTTATTCTAGTTTAATGGATTGAGAAGACATCATGAAGGTTCGAAATTGCGTAAAGTGTTTTATAAAAGTTTTTGTATGTTTTTTTAAAATTATTATTTAAATACTGAAAACTCTAGCGTATGTGAAAGTTATATACTTAAAGATATATACTTGCTGCAATATAAAAAAAAAACTATTACAAAACTCAAACGATGATTAAATTTATTTTAATTTAACTTTGTTAATTTAACTAGTTTCATTCAAATTAATATCATTCAAATTAATTTATTCAATATATTTTATTTTATTTTTAATAATTTCATTTAATTAATACAGATTTTTATTGTAAAATAATAGTCTTTCTAAACTGAGAAATATAAATTTAATCAGTATTGAAAATAATCACGGAAGTAATTTAATTTAATATAAATTCAACTAAGATTTAATTTAATTTAACTTGAATTAAATTAAACAATTATTGTCGAAGAAATGATAACACAATATAATTGTTCTAATACTAGTTATTGATATGAATGATCAAGATTAATGCAGAGTACCACACCATAGGGCCACAAAAAGTATCATTACAGACCCGATATATTAATTTTGTCTCGAAAATTTAAAACAACAACATACTAGATTAGCATGAACTATGTCCATTCTTTCTGTATTGCTCTATCCCCGATTTTCTCAAGGAATTAACAAATTTGAGACAAAGTACCATATTCATAACCCATATTCTCTTCATTTACTAACTTCAATTTTTATTCGGCTTTCAGACTTGGGCGCAAGAAATAATTGATTGAGTTTCTGGCTTCAAAACACGACCCGCAACTCAAAATTAAAAAAAAGAAAAAAAATAAATATAAATAATAATAAATAATAATAAATAATAATTGATTGAATTTCTGGCATCAAAACACGACTCTTAACTCAATATTAAAGAAAAGCAAAAAAGAATTAATATAAATAATAACAAAGAATAAAAAACAGAAAAGAATCTTTTTTTTTTTTCAAACCGGGAAGGGTTCCGTTTTTACCTTATAAAATAATCCTGTACAAATTCTTGATTCTCATCCATCCACGCTTCCATGCGTGCATATTCGGCATCATAGCCTTTTTGTGGTGATAGCGGGTGAGCATTTTGCAATGGCAGGGGGACACCGGTGCGTGATCCTAATAAACTTGTTTCAGATCCGAACCCTGTGCCCCCCTGCTCCGCAGTCATTCTGTTCTGTGTCGGCTGCGCGGAGGGCTCCTCTATGCTGCGCAAATGCAAACCTAAAAATTATAACCAAAATATAATTATAATTAGTATAATAATTATTATTTAGAATAATAGTAATAATAATAACATAATTTTAATAAAATAAAATAAAATTAGAATGTGTCAACAACGATGTTAAAAGTATAATTTTTTTGCTAAAAATATGTCCGAGCCATTCAGAGAGTATCATAAAATTAAATGTTGAGTTATAAATGCAAATTTATGCAAGGATAGTTGTATCTACAATGTATCTGTAACTATATCTGTATCTGCATCTCTGATTGTTATTGTCTGTCTGAGTATGCAAATAGATTTCTGTTTGTAAAATGTCGCTGCCCCTCTCTATATGCATAGTTATGGGTTTGTGTACTTCTGTGTCACTGCAAAAGACACAGATAAGAACAATCAGTGACAGTTTCTCGTATATTTTATACTAGCAAATACAGAAGCAGACAATTATGTGCTTAAAGTAATAGATACACAGATCCTACTCATATACATATGCATAAATATTGTTGCATGGTAATGCTTGTTTGATTTTAATGGCTCATGTTGCATAGTTGCAGGCGCTACAAAGTTTCTTCCTTGTATGCAAATTGACTTCAAAAGATTAAATAACAAAACAACGAGGCACTTTTTAGATTAAAAGAAGAAATGTAAGGAAATTAAAGAACATTCAAGGCATTAATTTTAATAATTAAAAGATTCGACGAAGATTGGGAATTTATGTTATGGAATTTTATGGAATGTTTTAATTAAGTCTTTCTATTTTGAGGAAAAAGGATAGTTTGTTTATAGATGACGGGAGCATGAGTTGGCCTAAATATCATAGCCAAAGTAAGATATTAGTAATTGTATAATGTATCTTAATCCATATAAGATGTTATAAATACACATTATATTGCAGTTGAATTTTGAAATTCCCAGTGCTGTGAGTAATGTGCGCTGATCCATTAGTCGACAGTAATTGCGTGCAAAATTACTCGCAAAAGTCAATTTATTTTTATTTTTTTTTTTTTTTTGTTACTTTCATTTTGCCATTTTATTTTGATTTTCTCTCACTTATTTATCGTGATTTTTATTGAATTTTCAGCGAAATAAAGATAAATTGCGGTCCTGTCACTGCGGCAAAGTGTTGCCAACAATAAATTTTACTGACATTTAAATGCGCATAAAACTCAGCTGCAAACTCAGACGAGGAGTGTCTCGGGTGCAAAAACGCATACGTGAAATCTATCGCGAAATGTGATGGGAACTCAATTGTAAATTTTTTGCACCAAAAAGAAACATATAAAAATTTTTCGAATTTTAATATATTTTGCTATACTGCCTTGTTTAAAAGCCAACACGGATTTTCTCTCTAGACAGAAAAAAATTGTAAAACACGCAACTCAAAACAAAAGGGAATGCATGCACAGATAAGATATACTCGAATTGAGATTTTTCTCTACTGAATATGAAGAGACCATAGGGAATAGTTTTGGTATGGAAAATTTATAAATTTTTTATTATTCTCATAAATGTGATTTGGTTGAAACTGTTTCAGTTTTACTTTATGAAGTTAATTGGGTGTGGAGACCAAATTCGGTTTTGATTAAAACATAATTAAGGAAGAAAGTTAATTGAAAGATAATTTAAACGTGTAAAGAGCAATAATTTATCTTTGTAACTCAATAAAAAGTATCTTTAAGTGATCACACATATATCATAGTAAGAGCCTACCACTACACTTCAGACAAATAATAATCAATAATCAAATAATCAGAACAGTGCCTTAAAAAGATGAGGGAGCTCTTAAAAAGAGAAAGACTACAATTTTTACTATTTTACTATATTTTTAAAAGGACAAGGTCACAACACTATCGAATATATGGTATTAAGTGCCTTCATTGATGACTAATGTTGCCATTTTCAAATGAAAAATATATTTCTATTAATGCAATACATTAGCTCATACTTCACAGATCATCACCATATCATATTGTGCTTGATCTTGATCATCATCCTTGTTTATAAGATTTAGCTCTTAGTTATTATTGTTTTTTTACTAAAAAATAGAAAACTTAGTCAGGAGGGCGACAATGATTTTAATTAAATGAAGAGTTTACATATTCATGGAATGTAATAAAATTAACAGAGCTTAAAGAAATTGGTGAAATAGAAATTTCATTAAAAAATAAATAGCCACAAAGAATATAGAAACGCTCCATTAAATATTGGTTAGTTGCTTTTATTGTCAGCAGACCTTTCTTTTATGTCCAAGTGGAGTATATAGATCATTTCCGTTAAATGTTAGATCTAAATCTTTTTAAATAGAACTTGCAGATCAGACATATGTAAATATGTAAGTTCAGTTCAAAAAGTATCGGGCATTTATAATTTCCAATATAATATATATTGATGTAGTTAGTACTTTTCAAGCTTTTAAAATTAATTAGTTAATTAAATTTCTCTGCTTAAAATTTCTTAAATCAGTCGAGCGGTAATTATCAGTATAATTGAAAATTCCCGTAACTCTCTGAACATAATATAAGTAGATAAATAGCATTTAAATATTTGAAAATATAACAATTTAATTCATTATAATAATAAAAAAAATTTATAAATACACAGAATTATTTCTATATATATATATGAATATTAAAATATCTGTTTGCTTTTATTTTATTTATATTCTATCGAATATACGAGTAAGGAGTTCAGATCTTAGCAGAGCTGTATATAGCGGTAATATGTTTGTATAACTTTTTTTTATCTCACCTGACGCTGGCGAACTACTGGACTTGCTTGCTTTATTCTTCTTATAGCGACATCCCCGAAATCGGCACATACTTGCAGCCTGGCCCATGGGGGCCGCCAGCAATGCAAATGTTAAACCCTCCGTTTTAAGGAATTTAATTTTTGTTTTAAAAATGTTTTCACTTTGATTTAAAATTTATAATATTAATTTTATTTTGTTTATTCTATATATTTAAATGCGAATAATGTTTTATTTTAGTACTTTTCTCTTCTTCTTAGCTTGTTTTGTTTTACTAAATTTAAGGATAAAATCTTTACTAACTCTATTAAGTATCTTTGTGTTGATGAGTGTTGTAAACATAAATTCTTGTTCGAAATTTTAATATTTTCGAATGATATTTTTCGTTTATAAAAAATTTTTTTTTAAATAAAATTTTAAGCACTTTCATAATAATATAGATTTTATGTTCTTCGTCTTCTTCTATATGTATACATATAGATATATGTAGGTATATGGTTAGATTTTGCTGCTGTTGGTCTGGTAAGCGTTTCTCTTTCGGTGCGTCTGGTATCTTTATTATTTATGACTTTTTTATTTTATGAGCTGAATTTCGGTAATAATTCATTCTCATTGCTTTTATTGCACTGCCAAGAGCAGAGGAGAGAGAGATGGAAATTTAGTAAAATAAATATAAAATTTAAAAACAAAATAAGTTACGAAAATTATTAAAATTTCATTAATTATATTTAGGTTAAATATTTAAAAAAAAAAATTTTTTTTTTAATTTATCGTAATTTAATTTTTTTTAATTATATTTTTTTGAAACTTGAAATATTTCTGAAATTCATCTCACGTGTTGCACACGTTCTTCTTCTTTTCGTAGTTGCTTCGCAAAATTTCTTTTTGGATTTTCACTTTTTATTTATTTTTGATTAATTCTTTTATTTGATTTTTATTTTGGATTGTGTGTTTTGCATTGTTTGTAGTTTCACGAAGTACTCGTATCTTTCACTACGATTGCTAGACGTATCTTGTTTGATTAACGGTATTTCATGAGAATTTCCCGTTCCATTGTTTACGTACTTCCGGGCACGTGCGTTCCGCATATCCTACCGGGCTTAAATTGTAATTCAACAAATGTAAATGTTGAATACCCCGAATACGGAATGTGGAATGCTTACCCTCTGCACTAAGATTGATATTAAATTGTCACAAACAAATTTAAACTTGCAACCTGCGATGGAAGTCATCCTGAACGACCTACCCCACAGATCTAGTTTTCCCTCTGCAATCCCATTATCATTGTCTTTACCATAGTTATTATTGTCACCGTCGTCGTCGTCATCGCCGTCGTCATCGTCGTCGTCGTCGCCGTCACTGTAATTGTAATCATCATCAGTCAATGAAAAAGCTAAAGTGCTATAAGGATTTGCAGCATTTCTCTATGATCTCTTCTTTGTTTCAAGAAATGGTTTGTTTATTTTTTTTATGTGGCTTGTGCATTTTTTCCAGCTTCATGACATTTCTGTCATGATGCGGATTTAGTGTGTTTTTATGATTAAAGTTGTAAAAACTTTGAAAGTTGTTTTGCGGCCTTTAGGATCCTAGAACTGGGAAATGGAAATTTTACAAAGATTTTCTAATTGTATTGCTGCTTTTATGGGCACTCATTCGAATCTTTATAAGCAAAAGTATCTTATTTCAACAAATATTTCTTATAAACTTTAGCTCGAAAATCGTTGTGACAGAAAAATAAAAAGGAAATAGAGCATTTTAAAGTTTTTATGTGAATTTCGTAATAGCAAAGATTGAATTATAAATTTTATTATTTATTTTTATTGAAATACGAGTATCTTAAAGGCTAAAAAAGCACACCATATTATACAGCTTTTCTAATTTCAGTGGTAGATGCAAGTTAACATATTATGATACCCAGTTATGGGTAGCGAAATAGCAAGAAAACTATGTGTACCGGAAATCGGGAGAAGTTGGAAAATTTTTATGGCGCCCAGTTATATGTAGGTAGATGAAAATGCAAGAGAGCGAGCTACTCTAATCCGTTTTGAATAGAGAATCGGTTGAATAATGCATAACCAGTATGGAGTTTTAATCAGTGATATGTTCAATCAATTATTTATGTATAAAAATTTTCTTTTTGTAATTTTTCACAATTAAAATTTTTGAATTCATTTCAAATTTTCCATGTGGTTTTCATCTACAAGGTGAGATGAAAAAACTGCAACCAACTTCAGACTGCTGTCATTTCTAAACCGC